ACGCTATTCTCTTAATATCCTATCACAAAAGTATTTGAGCATTTGACCTAAGGGCTTTTCAAACTAACAAAGAATGACAACGAATAACAATGCCCTTTTCTTCTCTTGGGTAGAAATTTTAAAATCGTAATTAGCATCATGCAGACTAGTTACGACACAGTAGTCGCTATCCTAGGTTCTCTAAACTCTGACGGGTTTTTTTTAAAGTCTATTGCATTGTAAACCTCATAATAGAAAGAAGGTGATATTGTTAAAATCTATCAGTCAGCTGGGTTTCCAAATCGATTAGTCCCTCCCAATTTCCGAGAGTAAAAGGCGTAATGATGATATTCTAAATGTGTATGAAAGTTGGAAAGTCTTTATTTGGGCTTTTTATTTGAGCCTTTTACAACACATTTTAGTATCAAGCCCAACCCTGTCCTTCATCAACAAGATATCAATAAAATCAACAATCGATTTTTCTCATAATATTCTGTAAGTCAGCAGGTCACTTTACTCCGAATGGCATGTCTCTCTTTCCTTCTAGTAATAAAAAAAATATGTTTTTTTTATAGGAAATCATTTTTTTTAAATTGCTTTATAGAAGGTAATTTTTCCCATACAGATACGAATTAAATTTAAGATTATGGTAGACGTTAAGACTCAAAAAAAGGAAATTTAGACAAGTACATTATATATTTTATTAAGAATAATGAAACATATTACACAGATGGAAATGATGGGAATGTTGAAATATAAACGTCTTATCTAAGAGTAACATTAACTAACATCATTGCATGTTGTGTTAATAAATTTTTGAAGCCCACATTCATTCTTAAATTTGGATCATGTATATGTTTTGCTGCAACTATTATACATGAATCATATATGAAAACAAGAATTAATATCTTAAGAATCAAGATGCTGATATATTTTTAATAAAAGTGTTTATAAATTTTCGGCCAGTTTTATAACTTCAGATTTATATATTTTACTATAATAAATTATAATATTCGTGTTTTAACTAATCAAAATAATATCTAACACAAATATAGAATCTTTCTCAAATGCTTTATCCAAAATAACCTCATAAGTTCCTCTGTGATTTTGGATTTTTCTTTTTTCAGAATTAAAATGGCTGGTTACGAAAATGAACATTGAAATATGAAATATAAGTCCAACTTTTGGTTACTAAAAAAATTAGCTTGAAAATAAATTTCTATATAATATGACACTAGTGGCTTAGGCATGGAGGGGGGGGGGTTGATATTTTTTAGTGTTTAAACAACCATAAAGTATTTTTTTATTGGATAAATTTAAATTACTAGTTAAACATGATATCAGTTTAGTTATAAACCAGTATTAACCTTATTAGGTCTCATTAATATAACGTATAACTACCCTTGATACCATAATATATACATTGATTACTTATAAGGGATTTTATAATATCTGTAAACATTTTGCCAAAAAAATAAATTACAATGATATAAACACCACGTAATACACCAAAATATTAATTAAAAAATTACTTATAAATATATGTAAAATAGATGGCGCTAAAAAATATTAAAATCTGATATAGTAAATGGCATAAGGATCTAAATTTATCTAAAATTAATCTTTTTAAAAAGTACATTTTCCTCTAATTCAATTTAAAAATAATTAGATCGCTAGCAACATTATAATAATTAAAATTTCCTCAGTTAAATAGACCAAAATCAAAATATAATCAAATTATTGTGGTAAAATAATAATTAAGTGGTTTCAAGTGTATTTATGATGTACTTATAAGACTTATCACGTTCGAAACCGGTCTATAATTACAAAATTGATATACATGTTATGTTATTTAAATATTCTAAAATTATAATAAAATTTACTTTTATTAGTAAAAAATATAATATAGTCTTATATAAGTTGGTTTCTCAAAAAAATAAATTACTTACATCAAATAATTAATTAACCTTAATGTATTCTGTATATTTTATGTTGATGCTGCTGGGATCATCTAATTTATAAATATTATATATCTTTGTCGACATTTATATTAGAAATTTCCTTTTCTCAAAGAATCAAAGGTTGATACTATTTATAAGACATATCATCCTCCACTATGACCTCCTCTTTCCTCCTTTATCTGATTTTTATTTCTTTATCAATGTTAACTACCCTTCATCTCATATTTCGATTTTATTAGCACCACCACACTAACACACCAGTATTTATCGATATTTTGAATGTATAATAATTTAAAAATAGAAATTATAAAAAAAATAGGTTAATAACATTTATAACATAAAATTATTTAATTTGAATATGAAATCTATGAACAAAAAATCTTTTTATATAACTCTATAATGTGCTACTTAAGTCTTTTTATTATTTTACTAATAATGTTGGATGAAATATAAGATGATATTTAGTAATAATGTTTGATGTATTTGGTAGAAAATGTATTAATACTTTTATATATTATTAATATATAATAAATATGTCATTACATAATATCTATTGATTGTACAAATTTCGGAGAATAGAACAAATGAAAGAACATTTGTATATTTATTTTAAACAATATGTTTAGTTATACATATAAAATTATTGTATAATAAAAAAAAAATGGTATTTTTGCCATTCATTATTATTTTGTCAGGTTTTTTAACGATATTAAATAATTTTTGATATATTTTTATGTTTAATATTCCTTTATTGAAAATGAATGAATATAGAATTAAATTAAAACCGTCTTGAATTAACTTATTTTAACTTTAAATTGGGCCGTGGCCTCCAAATTTAAAAAAAATTTATTGATAATTATTAAATATTTCACTATTAACAATTTAATCAAAATTAAAATGAAAATGCAACAAAATTTTATGAAAAATATTATTTATTTAATTAATACAAATTAATAAACAAGTTTTGAAAACCAGAGCATAATTATTTAATTTAGCCTAGTATATACGGTGTAAACGTCACGTCTGGACGAAATGATTAAGTACTAACCCTGCATCAACCAAGTGCCTTATATATATTGCTACGCACAAGTTGCATATTCTAGTTAAATTATTATATAATATGGTTATAATTTCTAATTTTTTTAAATTTATCTAATGCATGATATAATTTTTTGTTTTAATGTATCTAGCCCATACTATCAGGAGACTTTTAGACCAGAGATGTTCTGGGCATTTAGGAACATCTCATATCAAAGAATTTTGAGGTTATTGGTGATTGTTTTACTTTTAGAACTATTAACTAATGTTTCCACTCATGATTCAGGCGGAGCTTTTGGTTTTTCTCAATGCATTAATATAAATAGCATTATATTAGGCATTTTTATTCATAAAGTATTAATAACATAGATACACTAAATAAGTACCTACAGACAGTAGGTACTAATATGGTTTAATCTTAAAATTTTATTGTTTCTAGAATTACTACATTAAAAAAATAAGTAATATTTTTTTTGATTTGATTAGAATTAAGGCTGGGAAACTTATATCAAAGTTTAATCTTACCCTCAAAAATCATCAAAGTACGTTAAAAGCCCACTAATCTTCTAATTTTTTTAATCGATGATAAATTGCAATTTGATCGTGAAAAGGACTTTAATTAGAGTTCTTTAAAAAATAATATTAAAAAAATATTAAATACTTTGCGAATCGTTTTTTAGGTAGATTTAAACAAGATGAATAGATTATAATCTTTTGCTATGTTTTAAAATTGCCCCATACCTCCGACCCTGATTATTTTCTATCAGATAGTAGAAACACATTGGTATTATTATCAAACTTAAACAGGGAAACGTTAGATCATTAAATAAAAATAGTATATTAGCTGCAGAATTTGAAGAACATAATTTTGAAAGTCTTGCATTTAAAGAATTGCATAAACGCTCCTAGCCGCCATCATCATGTATCAACGGCATTTAGTGAGGTCTCATTCTCCACATCAAAGAGATATCTTTCGAGTACTAGAGACTCGATGAAAAATCGACGTAAACAAAATTTAGTATTGATGGCTTATCGGAAAAAATTATATAGAATTAACATTTAATTCATTTATGTTAAAAAATAAGAATGTACGTTTACAAATTTTTAATAAAATAGCAAAAAATTTCTACGAGTGCCTAACTATTTGTTTTATTTTAAATTAATATTGGAACCCTTAATAAGTAAACAGTTGCCCGCCCAGCTGGAAATTTCTTACAGCCAGACGGCTCCGGAAATAGAATCAAGTCATGTTAAATGCTTAAAAAATAAAGTCAGCAACAAAAGATATTTATAACATTGTCATGAATGAATTGTAATTGTAATACTTTTGTGATTGTGTTTCTAATTAAGAGATTGTTTTATTTTTAACAATTTATTCTGATTTTCGGATAAAATACTTTTTATAATATGAATATTCTGTGTTAAAGGTAGCTAATGATGATGGCAAGGCTTTTCTGCTCATTTCTACCAGTAAAATTAAAAAAAATTAAATATAATTAAAAGTTAACAAAAAGTATAAAAATTTTTTAAAAAATTACAATTGGATGAGAAATAGGGAATCGCACACCAATTTCACTATTAATTATGGGCATCGTTGGTTGAACCCAAGAAAGATCTATAAAATGCAGATTGAAAATTCCTTTAAATTCCTTAGATTATGATTTCAGATAAAAGTTCCTTACTGAACTTGGAAAATTTTGAATTCAAAAGTGGATAAAAATTGGGTATTTTAGGAAAAACAGATGAAAAAATGGCATTTATAATGGTAAAGAATATAGAGATCCTTCATCTTTTTAGGCATGACATGGCCTATTCAATAAATTAATTTATAGCCTCAACGCTACGAAGAGGGTATCCAAGGTGATAGATTTTTGCAGTAATTGCTTTCTTTTGCACGATCAATGATATATTAGTAATATATATATATCATTGTGTACTCTCTCTGTCAATCCCATATGAAGATAAATGACAGAAAACATGTTATCCTTTTTGTGATATGTGTCTAATATATTTTCAAATTTATGCTAGACTGTATCGATACTCATGAAAACTCTCTCAAACTAATCATACCTCTTTTATCAATAAAATATGCAAATATAGTTTATCAAGTATTAAAGGTAGATAAAGAACACAGACATGATATTAGAAAAGAAATTATGATCAATGAGGATAAATTAATTGTTGAATACCACTCTAGAAATTTAAAAACATTGCGTGTAGCATCAAATAGTATTTTTGATCAGATAAGAATAATTCTTCAAACTATTCAAGAATTTGAAATATAATGCACAAAATGTAGTTTTTTTCTAACCTATATGTAAACGTTTATTTTTAGAAATTATTCACTCTTTGTTGGTAATATACCATTAGAAATAACACAAGTATGAAAAATGTTATGGTAATTTTATTAAGTTTATTTTATAATAAAACAAAAAGGAGAGATTAACACTACTCTTTAATCAAACTGGAAATGTCAAATATTGTTCAATGTTTAACAGAAAATGGTTAGTTATTGATTTGTAATTATAGTAAATGATATTTATTGCTTGTGTACTGTTATTACTATCAACTAATTATTAAAAAATTAAATTTCCATCATACTACATAATTTGCCTGTGATTCTATTACACCACTTGATGTTTTGTTTGAAGCAGCCTTAACTTATTTAGAAAGCACATAATAATACCCCCCCCCCCTTTTCTTTACTTTTAGAGCTCAAGATTTTCTGTCATCTTTTTAACTTTTACTTTTTGGATAAATTTCTTAACTAAATTGTTAATAAAAATTTTTTAAATATTCCAAAGTCAAAATTTATTTCTATTTTCTTATTATTTGGGATGACCTCATTATTCAGGATATGATATATTATAAGTTCTAACCTAATTTCTGAAACATTATAGGTCATATGTAAATCAACTAGTTAACATTTTCAAATCTTCATCATTCTTAATCACTGCCTCAGAGATATCTCCCTCTGGTAATATAAATTGAGGTCTTAAAAAATGGAAATAAAAAATAACACTTTCTTATCTTTTTGCAAATATTATAGCAACATCTTCCTAAATGGAAACTAACCTATATTCAATTCAATGTTTTTTATATCATAATATTGATATATAATGATTTAAATATTTCATAAAATTTTTATTATAAAATATAATGAGAAAATCTCCAATATTGGTAATTGGCATTTTCTTCATAATCATAAATATTTATCATTGATGAATTTTTTTTTATCTCACCTATATTATAGAAACATCATATACCTTTGATTTAAATATATTTATATTAATGGCTATCAAAAATATTGAAATATTTGGCACACAAAATAATTAATTTCCAAATTTGTATTTTGATATAATGACAATGATTTTGACAGTGTAATGATAAAATAATAAATTCTTGTAAATTAATGAGTTTAAATTAATTGATTGAAAATTGATGTTGCCAAAGGTACTTGAGGGTTAATATTATGAGTGATACTTTCTTCTTAGTAATCTATTATATTATCTGAGTTTATATATGACATGTCTTAACATTGTTCTATATAACTGTTATATATAATTATATTTTAGCTTTTATGCCTCATGGCATGATTGAAAATATTTTAGTTTTATTATATTTTATTGCATTACAATTTAATTTTTATTATTTTATCACTTAATTTAAATTCAGTTTTGAATAAAGAACATTTTTGTTTTATTTGATTATATACTTATTATTTTTATATTGATTTTAAACATATTTAGATTGTTGACAAATCAGATATATAAAGAATATATGTTTTTAAATTAGACAGTGATGTATTATATTTGATTCAGCGATACTTGATTTATGATCCAGTGATATAGTGAGATATATATTTAAAATATGATTTATGATAACTTTTTATACAACTGGGATGTGATTAAATTCACAAAAAACATTACTTGATTTATATTCCAATTTATCCACTCAAATTACCACGAATTTTTTCTTTAACCCATTAATGGTCAAGATTTTTCTAGTGGATAAAAATGCTCAATTTTTTCAAATTATATTGATTAATGCTCAAATATGATATTCTAAAAAAATCAGCCAAAAAAAATAATCCTAAATAGAAAATCTAGCCTGGTGCATATATGCACCGTTAACCATTAAGAGGTTAAAAAAGATAAAAATTATATAAAATACTATAAGATCAAAAAAACAACAAATATCTTTATTCTTTTTTTGTAATTTATAATAAAAACGAGAGTTTATATATTATGAAAATCCTTGAAACATTTAATATGGAGTGCGATTTGACATGTTTGGCACATATATCTTGAGTGCGTATGGCAATATCTGCATCTTCGTCTTTTTCCATCTATAATTTTGGATAAATAATGTCCAGATGAATCAATAGGGTTTTCACACTGTAATGCAAACTGGCTGGCGTGACCTGTACTTGAATTTTTTTCAATTTTTACTGGCGTTCGAAGGAGGTAGTTAGTAACTTCTCGTCTAAATGCAAGCAAACTCTTCTTGTCATCTCGATTCACGAATTTCCAGATTTTCCATGAATTTACCAAAGCTACATCAATAAAATTGGTGAATATTGGCCACCACCATTTTTTTCCTCTTATTTTTATTCTATATGTAGATATTAGATTATCACATAGATCAACTCCACCCATGTGTTTGTTATAAGCAGTTACCATATTTGGCTGAGGAATTTTTATTTTAGAAGATATTTTCTTAGAATACCTTGAAACATTAGAAAGCAAAGAGATAGTGTAGCATGTCGATGCAACGGTCACCACCGAATTATCATTCCAACGAACTACAAATATTTCGTATTTTTCAAACCTATAATCATAATATCCTCTTTCTTTTTTTGCTACAACCTTTATAGATTCAACTGGGCAATGCTCTATTCTATTGTCCCTCACAGTTCCAGTTGCAAAATATCCCATTTGTTTTAAGTATGACAAGAGTTTAAATGATGTAAAGAAATTATCAAAATATATTTTATGATAATTTGGTTTTTGCAATGCCTTTAATAATTTTATGATTACATTTCCACCTAATCCATATTCATATTTATTTTCGCTTTTTCCTTGATATATATCAAATGAGAATACGTAACCGTCGGAAGAGGCCAATATCCAAGACTTGTATCCGAATCTAATTGGTTTTCCTTTTATGAACATTTTGCAAGAATGTCTTCCTCGATATGGTATCATCTGTTCATCTATTGATAAATGATGTTTAAAAATTCCGAATTGCTGAAATTTATTATTCAATATATTAATGTAAGGCCTAACTTTATAAAATCTATCATGTATATCTATTTTAGTATTGTCTGCCAAATGGATATTATATTTCAAATTTCGAAATTGTAATTGGGTCATTGTATCCCGGATTATTGGAATAGAAATATCGCTGTCATTAGACCAGTACATTCTTTCTTGTGGGAGAGAATGATATCCAGTAAATAATAGAATTCCAATAAATCTCTGAATATCTTGGATGGTTATGCATATGTTAGGTCTATTCATTTGTTTAGCATAAATATTACTTTGTTCTACAAATAAGGAATATAAGTCTTCGTCGAAAATTAAACAAAATATATCTGATGGACTTTTACCATGTAAATCATTTTCAAGTTTTATTACATCTTCCTTTTCTCCATTGAAAGGGCTTGAAGAATATATTGCATCCGTTTTTCTCCATTTTAAATTGTGAGAAATTCGAGAATAGCTTCTTGTAGAATATGGTTCTGGAAGGTCGTCATCAACTGAATTATGAATCTCCAATTCTCCAGCTGTATCTGAAGGCAAAACTCCGACATTTGTTAAGTCATTTTCATCGAAATCTTCTTCATCACTAACTGCAGAGGGGTTTGGCGGAATTATAACCATATCTCTTTCTTCAATTGGTTCCTCTTCAAAAAGTTGAGCAAGCGCTTGTTCAATTGTTAGAAAACGTTTCATTAAAAAAATTTATTAAAAATTAAATATCTAGACAAATTATTTTCGTAGAATCTTGATTTTTTTATTAGTCATCTATTATTTTGATAATTTTGATTGAATTGACAAAACAGGTGCATAATATTTTATATAAATAAAATAAAATCTTCAGAAAGGAAGAGGCTAAAAATAATTTTAAACTTTTGAATATTTATGAACCTAATAATTTCATATAATTTGATCGGGATAAAAAATTATAATAGGAAATATATTATTCGATTTAATCTCAGGGGAAAAAAATTTTTTTAAATTATTTTCAAAAGGTCTTTTTTGGGTATAAAATTTTTTTTAAAAATTCTTAAGGGGCTCGAGCCACCCACCCCTCCCCTTCCCACCCTTAGTGACGGTAGTGGTTTTAAGTATAATATAAAAAATTATAATTCATTATGTTAAATTTCATTTGTTTGAATTTTTTTAAATAATATATACTGCTAGATGGTTAACGGTGCATATATGCACCAGTCAACTTTATGTGGTTACCTACTAAAATATTAATTATTTAAAAATTCAAAAATGATTGATAAATATTGATATAATAAAGAATATATACACACTAGTTTTCATCGAAATAATTTTATAATATGCTCGTGAGATCACTTAGAAAATTTTGCATTTTAGACCTCATAAATTCGCAAAGTTTGAGGGTTTCTTAGGGGCATAAAAAAATATTTTTTTCATATTTTTCTTTTCCAGTTTTGAAGTACAATGTCTGAACTATATAAAAATCTTTTTTATTATTTTTAAAAAAAAAACTACTATGTTAAAATAAGGTATATAGGAGGTGGTGCATATATGAACCGTTAACCAGTAACGGGTTAAACAACCAACATCAAAATTTTCTTTACATTTTTTTTTATAATCAATTTATTTTAAAAAATTAATATTTTTAAAGGGAAAAAAGGTTATAATGGTAAACTTTGGGCAAAACAAATAGCACTTTGAAATATTCTGTTTTTTCTCAGTCAATGAGAAATTTGATGCAGCTGAAAAGGTTCAGGATGGTTGCACTATAAATGGAACCTTAAATGGCCTTAGATTAAGCCATTGCCCCATGATCTCTTCCTTCCTGATAGAAGCATTGTTATTCCGAGCGAGCTTCATGTAACATATCCAAATTGTCCAAAAAATGATTATTAAATTGAGTACTAACCTAAACCCTACTAAAGTAATATACAAACCAAGGATATTCTCAAGGAAAAATGATTAAAACGCCATAATCTTCTAAATTAATGTCGATAATTAGTTCTACACACCTCAAAGAATATAGGCAATTATTCTTAAAGGGACACAACTCAATTTTTAGAAAGAGTGACCACTTGCAAATCTTTCACCATTTTTGGTTTCAGTTTCACGAATATGTTAAAATAAAATTTTTCTTTGTATCTCCTCCACATTTATTTAACTGTAATATCCTGATATGATGTAAAGTAGATTTAGCAATATTAATCATTCGAGTAAATATGCAGGAAATATTAGGATCTAGTAGTCATATTATACATTAAATCACACCATCAAAATATTATTAGCTTAAAAAATGATATTTATGAGAACCAACAAATTTCCGAATGGGGAGAGGATCCCCACCCCTGCTTTGCCCATAAATCAATATTTAAAAAAAAATGAAATGAGGAAGCATGGCCTTATTCCTTCGAAGATTTGGAGGAAACCACATTTGGGGATTTAAATTGCAGAAACCTTTATATATATCAAATTCAGAAATTTTCAAAATCTCCTATAGCTTCAGCCCACAGATTGTAAAAAATTTTAAACATAGGGGGGGACATAAATTACTCTTGCATATTAGTGAGAAAATTTGAATCTAAATTGATAAGATTGCAAAATTATAAATTCCCTAAAACAAGGATGCTAAATAATAACAATTGACATTTTAAATAAGTTTGAAACAATTCATTGCCCAAGACAATGAAAGCTCAATGAAGACCAATTCAAATTTGTAGCTTAGTTGGTGAAAAAAAAAATTCCACAAAGAAGGGAAATAATTTACAACTTTGGCGAGATCTGCATAACATAGATCTTGATATTTAAAAAAAATATATATATTGTGACAATGTTCTAATTGCCCATGATAGATTAAAAAGTAAACAAAGTGGATGATATCATTTATCGAGTTTTCTATCCCATGGATGACAATCGATTTGGGGGATTAATTATCAAAAACTAAGTAAAACGCAAACATTATTACTCCATATATCTCGAGATGTTATGTGTAACAGATACTACGTATATATATATATTAAATAATCGACTCATTTTGTGAGATTGTCATCCTAAATGCTTGATTATGAAATTGGAATGATCCATAATCGCTCTCTGGTTTAAAACAATGGGGTCAAAATTTACCATACCCTAACAATGATATTTAATATAAAATATTTAAGGAAATAGAAAATAAATATTTTCCAACCATAATCATGGTTTAGAAGTTTGATTATAACAATTTAAACTTCGAAATTTTTATTTTCATAGCTAAATTAAGATTAAATGTTTCATTGTTATACCATTGTTTGTGTTTTAAAGAAAATTATTATTTATTAATATATTCTTGTTCACACTTTGAATTGTTAATATGATAGGCGTGATTTCTACCACCCCCCCCCCCCATAAATATAATTTTGAGTTAATTCCTTACCTACATCTACCCCCGCTCCACACTCACCCCCCCCCCCCCCCCAACATAAAAAATGTATACAGTAATATCACTAGAAACAATAATCTTTATAATTCAAAATAAAATAGAAAATATTTTTTAAAAAGAAGTGAAAACCCCAAAAATTTTTCAACATAGCCAAGGGATCTACAATGAGGGTACCTAAAGACCTTCCAAATGTTATTTTTGGCGGATAAATCCACCTAATAATACCCCTTACCCCCTACCCAACTCCCCCTTCTTCGATAGAAAGATCCTAGATACGTCTATCAGTAATTCGTGATGTTTGAATAGCTAAGCATAGTCAGTTTAGGGATGGGTTTAAACGGCTCCATTCTTAAAAAGACAGCTGGCCTAATCTCCTTGCCACAAAAAGATTACGCGAGTCTGGAGATTTTCCTCATGGATGGCACAAAGGTGTGGATACCTATTAACGAAATATTATATTGGCAAAAAAATCGTAATTTAAAAATCGGTTAAATCTCAGCTGTTTAACGATACCGGTTAATTTTTTGAATGTAAAAGAGAAAGAAATCGCGTGCCAGCAGGCGGGTGGGTAATTCTTTCCGGAGGACAAAGGCGGACGGGTTCTAAAAATCTGCCCATTTCGCAACCTCTACATTGGTCAGTAAGGGAAGCATTGCTATTCTCGCCATCCATATTCTCCTACGAATTTATGCCTAAATTTTTTTTCATCTTTACAATTTTAGATTAAAGATTGTCTACATGATTACATATATCTTAATCATCTTATTGATTTTAACAAATTTGATATTCAAAATTAATATAATAAAGTGTTAACATCGTATTTTTTTTAAAAAAAAAACCTTTTTATCCGCCATTTTGATTTTATAGAATCGTTATCCTAATTTTACGATATAGATAGATGTTCAACCCTTCTGCCTTTCTATAAGCAAAAATCTCCAGAATTGCCTATAATATATCTTGGCGAAACTATCGGGTAAAAAACAAATCGAGCCGGTTAACAACATTAATTGGACCTATTACGAATCTGGTCGGGTAACGGCGAAATGTCGGCTAATTCAGCCCAATTTTAAGGAGACCGCTGGAGAAAATGCGCTAACATTTAGGCGTTTGAGCTGCTATCTTTTTAAGAAAAAAAACCCCTCCAGGCCAAAGTGATAGTTTTCGGCTAAAACCTTGATTTAACCGATAATTTTTAGCCGGCTAAAAATCGGGTTACAAACGGCTAAAAAAAATATAGTAAACTATAATTGTGAAACACTTGTCTAATCATTATTTTTTTTCTATATCAAATTTTTAATATGTGTTAGCATCAATGTTTTATGATTTAAATCACTTTTTAATTTAAATGATCGGATTTTTCCGGAAATATATTTTATCATGTCCGGAATACTTATCTTATGAATTGTAGGCAATTTTACTTGTTAATCCATAAGTCATTTATAAATTATTATTAAATTTAAAAAGCTCATGGAAAAATTGTCTGAAATTCGTAGGGTAGGTATTCCAAACATGGCGGCATACATTTCCGGTAAAATCAGATTTTTAAATTTAAAAAAAATAAAAATCCGGGCCGGGCTTAGGGCTGGGCCTGTAGTTCTCTGCTATATATATATCTCTTCAAGAGAAGAGAAGAGATATATATATATATCAGTGAATAAATCAATTCTGTATTTTATATATATCGTATACAAAGTTTTATCGACTATCAAACAGTGCTAGAATGTGAAAATGCGATTAAAAAATTTAACGGGCACGAAGTGGTACCTACCAAGAAACTTCTCGTTAAATTTTCCGACAATACGAAGAAGAGATTGCTGCAGGAAAAGGTTATAAATTGAATATGTATATATGTTAGCGGCAAATGTATTTATTTTTTTCAACTTTCGAAGCGCGGTTTTTTTTTAAAAAAATCCGATTTTAACCGGAAATGTATTCCAATTATGTTTGGAATGTGCTACCCTACGATTTTCAGACAATTTTGCCGCGAAATTTTGAAACTCGATATAATTTATTATTAGTTTTTTTCATGGCAGTGCGTTTTTTTTCTTCCCGGCAAATGTGTTTATTTTTTCAACTTTCGAATCATTTTTTTTTGAGCGCGTTTTTTTTTAAATTTAAAATTCCGATTATGTTTGTAGTTGCTACCCTACGATTTTCAGACAATTTTGCCGCGAAATTTAGAACCGCGAAAATATGTAAGGTTTTGCGAATAAGTGAATCCGTAAATATTTCTATTTCAATATAAGTTATATATTCGAGAGATCTGCAAAATTTTTTTTTTAAAAAAAAATAGTCGGGTGCGGTCGGGCCTAATATTTTTAAATAAAATTCAAACCGGTTCGGGCCTGATATTTTTGAATAAAATTCAGGCCGGGTCGGGCCTCAGAAATTTTTTTAAATACATTTAAATTAACCTATTTGTATGTTGAATTTTTTCTATGTAAAATATATTCGATTTTAATTTAGAGAACTAGGTGCCGTTATAACATATGACTTTTATTTTGAGTAATGATAAAAATTGATCTCTACATTTAAATAAGTTCAAGCCCGGCCGGTAAATTTTCTTAAAAAAAATAGTGAGTTCGGGCCGGGCCGGCAAAACTTTTTTAAAAAAATCGGGCCGGGCTTGAAAAATTAGGCTTGCAGATCACATACATTTTATCTTAAATTTTAGCAAGTAGTTAAAATTGATTTTAAATGTATTTCCCTCGTGTATTAATCATTTTATCCCGCGAAAATTTAAAAGACGATTTTCTTACCTTAATTCTATTTATTTTGTTTGCACTAATAATAACTATGATTAGGCCAAAAATTTCCAGAATATACGAAATAGGTTTCAGATAGCCAAAGAAACAGAATTTTACAGAATAGAATTATTTTTGAGATTTCTTATGTTACAATAAAAAAAAAAGAGAAACTGCAAAAAGCATATCCGAGAAGATGGAGCCTTCGACATCAAGCGTTACAGCTTTTTATTTCTCTTTCTAGAAAAAATCGGAATGGCCTGAATAATATAATGAATCTGAAGGTTGCAACAACAAATTTACGCAATATTTTTCAGTTTGAGGTCATGGATAATCATGAATATTCCTATATTACAATTTAGAAAATTGAGAGATAATATCGACCAATCATTTTACGAGATTTATGTGACAGTTGAGGCGAAAGCGGAATTTATATGATTCTGAAGATTTCGCGAGAACTCGACTCGCACCACATGACAAACATATCGTTTCCGGTAATGACGTGAACTCGATTGAGGATCATTATTCCACTTTTGGGTGCATAAAATCAATCAACGATTCGTGATTCATTCAAATGGCACCATCCAATTTGCAATTATTACTATTATTCCAAGAAATTCTGATTTGGGGATTAAATCTTGATATTGTAAAAAAAAAAAAAAATATTTTGCGGAATTTTATTCAGATAAATGTATCTTTAAGAAACCGATTAATTTCGGAGTTTACCAAGAAACCCATAAGTATTAATTTTAAATATACATTTTGGAGCTTTTTCTCCTCCGAAAATATATTTTGAATTATTGTATAATTTTGTGAACATTACCAATTTAATGAGAATAATGAATGAGAGGACCTTTTCATCATCCCGGAAAATAAAAACTTATCGCTGTAGTACAGCGTCAAGAAACCGATCGGATGGACTAGCTCTGCTTCAATGTACGTAGAGATTTGAATCCCCAATACAGAGCACAAACCCGGATGAAAAATTGGCGCAATCGCAATAGAAGATTTAAAATTTCCATTTTTTGAACCAATCATTATATAATGTTTTAATTCAAAATTTTTTTTATAATCTTACTTGCCGGGTTATATACATATATTTGTAAATATATTTTAACAATATTATATTGATGGGTTCGGTCATTCGGCTCAACTTGACCAATTAAACCGTATAAATCTAAAGGACCCTCTCTAAATTTCCTCCCGTGCCATTTTTATTATTCCTGCATCTCAACCATAATGTTAGCAAGTTGTAATAATTATTTTTTTACGCGCTAATACGCGCCACATCTATACTCGCGGGTAAATAGGTATCGGCTTATTTTCGATCGTGACCCATAATACCATTGGCTAATTACCCAAAAATGTTAATTCTGCCTTCATAAAGTTTAACATTTTTATTTTCTGTGCCGATTTCTAAGTAGGGTTTTATAATTTGTCTTATGTTTTTTTAAACGTAAAAATTTTTTTTTTTTTTTGGCAGTACCCTGGTATGCTTGAATCGGCTGAAAATTCGTCTTCCAAAGCTGCAATAACTAAGACAAACGCGGTGCCGCCAAAAGTTAACGGACCGGGAAAGGCTCTACAAAATAAGACGACGCTGCCTCCTAAAAAAAGCGATCAGATTGAAATGGGTAATAATAAAAACGACAGTGAGGTAGTGATTGGTAATGATGATGCCTCTTCAGCACCCAAGCCCTGTTTTAGTAACTTGAATTGTTTTTACGACAAAAAGGCGAAAGAAGCCCTCCCTCTAGAACTCAATGCCAATAAGGTAAATTCGCTCGCGCCAAAGAATGGCGTAAGCGACATTAAAGGCGATACTAAAAATAATTTAAACGGTACAGTAAGAGTCACTCCGATTCCAAACAGCGATACCAATATAATTCCTCCCTACCTGAACACCAAAAGTGTTTACAAAGTCACTAACAATGGCATTGTAAAGGTAAAAGTGGACGATAATTTGGTTAGTGACGAAGATGCTGCTTCAAACATTTTTCCCAAATACGTGAAAGTTGTTAAACCCCCAAACGCGGTTGAACATGCTAAAGCTTACAACGAGACTAAAAATAGTGATGTCAGCGATTGGCCATATATTAAAAGTGACGATGTTGGTATTAACAAGGAGTTACAAGTTCTTAAAACTAATATTAATGATGAGTTGCTAACTGACATTGAAAATAAAAGAATTTCCGACGACAATATTAGTTCGCCCATCGTTAAAGTTTCGAAAAATGACGAACGGCCAATTAATATCGAAAAATCGAAGAAAAACGGTTTTAAAAATGAAGCAGACGATTTTGTTCTTAATGTAACAGGGGATAGCTTCTATAATATGAAGTAATTAATATTATATATAAATATCTTTCTCATCTATCCATAACATCTTTACCTATAAAAATAATTATTTTTATACAAATTTATTTGTAAATTTTAAATATATATATATTTGCATTTATTTGTGAAAATTACAGAAACTTTATAAAGAAAAATTCTCCTGGGATAGAACATTCAGGTTTTCAATCTATATATTCTTTGTTTCTTTCTTTCTTTCTTTCTTTCTTTCTTTCTTTCTTTCTTTCTTTCTTTCTTTCTTTCTTTCTTTCTTTCTTTCTTTCTTTCTTTCTTTCTTTCTTTCTTTCTTTCCTTCTTTCTTTTCTTTCTTTCTTTCTTTCTTTTCTTTTTTTATAATTGATTATTTATTTTAAAAAAATCGCTGATGAATAGATTCACGAATGTCCGAAAATCCTAAATTTCCAAATCTGTCACTCAATTTATGTTACGACTGCAAAAAACCAGGTTTAATAGCTTTAAAGTTTGACTTATATGAAATATTTAATTTTCAGAGTTTGAAATACAAAAAAAATCTTCATAGATTTTTGAAGATTTTGTTGACAATGGCTCGAGAGAACAAGATTTTGGTCAAATTCTACCTAAAACTCTAAGATCTTTGAATCAAACTCTGATTTATTTACACTTCCATCTACAGATCTGCAAATGTAGGCCGGGCCCGAAACCGGCCCGGCCCAAACGGGCTTCGGGCTGGGTCTGATTTATTTAAAATAAATCGGACTGAGTCGGGTCGGGCCTTGGAATTTTTTTTAAAAATATATCTAGAAATTTATCAATTTTATTGTCGAATATTTTTTATGTAAAAATAAAAATATTCAATTTTATTAGAAAACTAGACGCCACATGACATTATATCTTTTATTTTTGGGTTCTAATAATTTTTTAACGGCTCGTTTTGAGCCGATTTTTTAAAACGGCTAACTCGATTTTATAGCCAGAAAAATATTCCCCTAAGACTCGAGATTTTGATAATATATGTCTAGACTGTTGTTCCTCCTATAAACAAAATCTTCAGGCTTGCAGAATATTATGATGGGTGAAGTATTGAGTTAGCCAGACGAGCCGTCAACAACACAAACTGACCTATCTTATATATATATGTGTTTAATAATTCATAATATCTCGGAAAGCTATATACAAGTCTGACTGCTGCGATAAAGCATATTTTTGTAATCATTTGTGTTTGCATAATGGTTTTGTCGATCACTCCAAACATTGCTCAATAACTCCGATACCGAGTCAAGAAGCCAGCAAAACAATTGAAACAAAGTTTAATTTCATTAATATTTTTTTTTGTTTAAAGTGTTGCGTTTAGGGTCCCAGAAAAAAAGAATTACATAATCCTAACGGACAGTTCTCTAAAGGAGGTTAAATTTATTTTTATATATGTTTATATTGATTCTTCCTAAATAATATAACTATATTGTTTTTGTCAGTTTCCTTTAACATTAACATATTTAGAAGTGTTAGCTAAAAGGCTAGTTTCCGAAATAACTTTAAAAAAATGGTCATTTATAGCTCTAACTAATTTCACCAGCCGTTTTGTTTTCCTCCAATGATTTTTAAACATATCAATCATGTAAACATGAGAATACATAATCTTATCATAATTACATATTTTGAAACAAAGTTTGGCAGATTAGTATCGGTACCATGTTTTGCATAGGAGTTGTTTGACAGGCATTTTATTTACAACATATGATTTTGAAAATTATTATACATATATGTATGTCAAAAAATTTTGATATATTATGGGATGTTCCTCCTTTTTTCCATGAATATGGTGGAGTAAATTTCTTTGCCTGCGGACCATGTTTTTTTTGGTAAAGGGTTAAGAATTAAAGTAAGATACAAACCTATTCCAATCTCAAAATTTTTGATTCAAGGATCTCGTAACTTCCTTTCGCGATCTTCGTTAATAAAAAAAAAGGTTAGTGGTGTTTAAGTTACTTTTGAAAAAAGTTACTAATTACAGTATAGTTACATTTTAGAAGTCTATATATTGTAAAGACTATAAGTTCCTTTCGCGATCTTCGTTAATAAAAAAAAATAAGTTAGTGGTGTTTAAGTTACTTTTGAAAAAGTTACTAATTACAGTATAGTTACATGTTAGAAGTCTATATATTGTAAAGACTATAAGTTCCTTTCGCGATCTTCGTTAATAAAAAAAAATAAGTTAGTGGTGTTTAAGTTACTTTTGAAAAAGTTACTAATTACAGTATAGTTACATTTTAGAAGTCTATATATTGTATAAAGACTATAAGTTCCTTTCGCGATCTTCGTTAATAAAAAAAAATAGGTTAGTGGTGTTTAAGTTACTTTTGAAAAAGGTACTAATTACAGTATAGTTACATTTTAGAAGTCTATTTATTGTAAAGACTACATTTTTTTTTTATTATACGATAAAAATAATTTGCAATGTTTGTTCAATGAAAAAAAAATACGATTTAAATATGAATAATTGCACTGAAAAATAAGTATCATAAATATAATATTAAATTTTTATCTAGTTGGTCTACTCGTGTTTCTCCAAAATATAAGCTTCGCTCTAGACTAAACTTAGTTATAGCTGACCGTTAGATGAAATATGTTAGCATATTTTAAATCCGTGAAAACCGTTCAAAGATTATTAAAATGTTCAAGATATTTTTTTACTTTTGGAAGTTACAACATTCTAAGAAGAAAAAAAAATTAACTTAACTTTTTAAATTTTTTCAAAACCTAAACAAATATAAGTAGAAAAAATTAATAAATTATTTTCTAAATAAACAAATATAAAAGTCATTCGTTTTCAAATTTGAACGAAGAAAAAGGATATACGATTATTCAAATTTTCACAAACTCGCTATACACTTTTTCCCATAAATGGCTTCTCCGTACTTCTAACCCGGGCTGCTTGTTGAATCCTAATTAAAATATTTAGTTGGTTCTTTTATAGACCTCCTTATTTCTAAAGCGACCCCGAATTTAATTTGTTTAATTTTAAAAAATAAATAAATAATATGTTTAAATATATTTTTATTATTTGATGAAGAACGCTAATTTGCTCAGATCTCTCAAAGGCTGTCCCGTCACTGTGGTCCTAAATAAGCAGAATAGCCAAGAAAAGGGTGTTGAGGGTATTAAAAAAGAGCCCCAAAACTTGCATTTGAATGGGGATTTCCTTAGTCCCAAAAGTGGGCAGGAAGGTAACGTGATCAAAAAATTGATCACCCCTTACAAACTCGTCAATACCTATCCATCCCCTTCAACGAATGGCCATGACACGACTTCATCACCTTCGTCACCTCTCCTCCTTAATGTCGGAGGCGATGCAAAGATTGGAGGACGACCCACCACTACGAACCATATCATAAAATCTATCGGTAGTTGTTTGGATAAAACAGTTTTAAACGATTTGCTATGGTCTAACAAGAAGGAGGAAAACGTTAAAAAGCCTCAAAATTATGATCTTGGGGTTAATTCTCAAGTGTACGAAGATTTCTTTGACGAGGTTTTTATTATATATATTTTTTATGATTGACATTTGTTTTTTTAAAAAAAATATATAGTACGAGAAATGGACAAAACCCAGCGATATCGGTAATAATGGTTCTGAAGATTAAGAGTGCAAAGGAAAGGGAATCAAAACTTTTATAAATATTTTTTTTTTTAATATAAAATTTATATTTTTTTTAAAACCATAAAATATTGGACGATAATCATAAATAATAATTAAATTTTATTCAGCAATATATACTTTTTTTAAAATTTCATATTATATATAAAAAATTAATTAGATCAATCATTTTAAATTCGGTTATAATAATATATATACGTTATTTTATTTTGTCACAATGGATGAAAATTCAATAAAAAAAATAGAAAGGAAGGGAGTTGTTTAAACATTTTTAATTATGTTATAAAAAAAATGGTGGTTAGCCTACCCCCCTCCCCCACTCCTGGGTGCGCGAGTTAAGTTTGTCTTGGGTGAGCTCAATTTTTGAAAATAATTTTGGTTCGGGCCACAATAAAAAAATATTGGCCGGTCTTTTTCGGTTCGGGTCGGGCCTAATGATATTTAAGCTCTCTAGCACGCGTATCTCGTTTAAGATTATATTTGCGGATAGTTTGTATAATTTTATCAAATAACTTACCCGTTACGCGAAATTAATCGCTAACAAAATCACAGCTGATTTACTCTGCATTCTTAGTACCCACACCTTGCATGTCAGACCTGCAGAGGTACCATTTGCACAACCCGGCCCGGATTTAAAAAAAAAAAATTTTTTTTTGGTCCAGTCCAGGTTTTATATTCAGGCCCGACTTGGCCCGGATTTTTTAAAAATATATTACATTTATTTTTAATTTTTATAGCTAATAATGGCTATTTAAAATAATAAGGCCCTTAAAAGATTTTCTGCACGTCTCTCCATAAAATCCATATATTTGATATGTTATTCCAAAAGTAAAATATTTTGAAATGTTTTTTTGCGACCTTCTGTTCTATCAAAATCTCCATTTTTATATATATTTCCCGTTTTGTGGAAAATATAGTTTTAATAAAATTTGCAAAAAGTTTGAGGGGTTTTCAGGGTTCTTACCTCCAACAAGTTTTACCCAGCCAGAGGTCTGCGAAAAACGGGTCTAAAGCCTTTTATATAGAATTTATAGAGTGGGGTCTATTAAAATAATTCCCCCTCCCACTAGAAAACACATGTTAGTGGCATAATAATTATATGCCGTAAATGAGATGAAGTGTAAAAATTATTTTATTAACTTTCGTCATGTAATTATTTTAGCAAATTTTTATCTATTATATTAAAATAAAATTTTAAATATGATTAAAATAGGGGACATAATAATTGCTCGATCATTATTATATTTTTCCATCTCCACTTCTCAATAATTCGAAAAAAATGCAGTTGAGACATCTAATTTGATGGCAATTCATTATTTTTGAATCTAAGATATGGGTTGAAGAAGGGAAATCCATTATTCTCAGCCAACGTTTTGGAGGCACCCCTTTCCCTCAAATATTTTTTTTACCACTCCCTTCCGAAGATACATGGAGTCAAAATGGGGCCTATCTTCCCGTTCATATGTGCGTTTGCCATGCGCAAAAAGTGGTGATGGAAACAGAATAATAATAGATAGATCAATGAGCGATATTTTTATACCGCGATACATGATAAATAATATTGATGAATAAGGTGAGAACATTTGAGGAATTTGTATTGTAAAAAGTAAATTTTTTATTTAAAAAAAAACAGCTGTTTTATAAATATATAATTAATTAATACAGTTATTTGATTTGGAGAAATTTTGATAATTTTATATATTTAAAAAAAAAAAAAAATTAAATTGAATAAAAATATATAATAAAAATATATTTTCGAAATTAAAAAAATGATTATTAATAATTTAAGTATTTAGAATATTAATATAAATAACGTGATATATTTTTAAAAACGTGTTAATTAAAATGTGTATAAATTTATGTGGGAAAAAAAAGTATATAAACAAGATGGCAATCTTTTTTTGCCGCGAAAATATTTTTTTAAAAAAAATAATAAAATTTATGTTGTTTTGGTATTGGTCCATCACAAATATCGATTAGGGATATTAATATATAAAAGGTCACGGTTTAAATTTTGGCTTATAAAAAAGGCGTTTCGAAATTATATTTAAAAAAAAAATGTGGCAACATTTCGACAAGCTGTCTTTTACGTGAGAGATTTTTTTTTTAAAGTTTGTGGGTAGTATTGTTAAGGCGTAGCCATGTTTTTAATCGAAAATATTCCAATCAATCTCTTCAGGTTTTGGACTAATGTTGTTAAACGGCGGCTCCTTTTCGAGCCGATTTTCGAAAACGGCTAACTCAGTATTTAATCTAGAATAATATTACGCGAGCCTGAAGATTTTGTTTGTAAAAGGAACAAAGGTTTGGACATCTACTAACGAAATCTCGAGGCTTAGGCAATGTTTTTCTGGCTAAAATATTGAGTTAGCCGTTGTTAAACAACACTAGTTGAGACTCTCTACTTGGACGCTTAATTCAATTTTATATAGGCTAAAAGCTTGATCAAAGCCACAATTAAGATGGTCAAAGTTAAGGTAATTTAACAACACTATTTATGGGGGCTCTACAAATAATAATTGGATCCTTTATATTTTAGAAGTTTTTTTTTTAAATAGACCCTCAAATTAAAAAGTAAAAGTACCTTTTAAAAAAACAAATACCCTTTAAAAAACGTAAGAAATACCTTAAAGGCAAAAATAAGCCTTCAATTAAGATAAAAAATAAAGAAAGCGTTTAAAAAAATGAAAGGTATTATTTTGGTTAAAATTAACTACCAATGGTACTTATTTATATATTTAAAAAAAAAAAATTGGGCATTTTAAAGAATAAAACACATAATAATACAAAAAGATAAATACGGAAAATGGAACGCGAGATATAAATTTTTGTGAATGATTTTAAGGTTTAATGTTCAAGATTCAATCGAATTGATCTTTTGGTTCAACGCGAGATGGGTCCGTCGAGTTTGAGAGAGAAAAAAAATAAGGATGAATGATGTTCGATCAATCACAGTCTATAATAGATAATTACGCGATTCCGAATTTTAAGATCGAATAAAAAAAAAACTTTCTATTCAATTTTCATCGTTTAGTGGGGCGTGAAAACCACGTAGGAGGGCATCGTATTCAGATATCAAAGTTTCGTATCTGTAGGCCTCTCGTATATCGGGAATATTGGTTCGGGTTATGTCGTTCCGAGAAACGCCTTCGTTCAGGTAATTAGGGCCGAGCCAATGACATTTGACCTGTAATAATAATAAAAATTGATCGTTAAAATAGTAAAAGTATACTTCTATTCTATATAAGTGTTCTATTGTATTCAAAAATGTTAATGATGAGTAGTGTTGTTAAACGGCTCGTTTTGAGCCGATTTTTATAAACGGCTAACTCAATACTTTATCCAGAAAAATATTACCCGAGCCTGAAGATTAGGGCTGTGCCGATACACATATTTTTCACCGATCCGATATTGCTTCAAAACCAATCCGATACCGATATTTTTACTGATTTTTAATCACCCCCGTTTGAACTAAATGTAATTTAGAAATCAACATTTTTTTATGCAAAAAATCGAATTATGAATAATTAAATTTTTTTATTTCTACAATTAAGACTATATATTTAATAATATATCCATTTTATGTTGGAATTATAAAATTGTAATATTTAATATATAAAATTATAATATATTAGATTTTTTTAATAAATATGAGAGCCTCTAGATTTTCTGGAAATAAGCCTCTAAGATATGGACTATCTATATCTCCTGCCGTACTGAAGGCAGACTCAGATGATTCCGCAGTTAGCGCATTTTGCAAAATTATCTTTGTCTTTTGTAAAATATTTCCATAATTCAGATACCATATTTAAAAAAATTCTTTTATTTAAAGTATAAATAAAAAAATTGGCGTTATTTAAAAAGATTTAAAATAAAACTTTGGGTGTTCCTTTCTATTTTTATAAAAAAAAAATTTAAAATACTATAAATCTATTTTAAAAAAGAAATAAAATTAAAAAAAATTATTTAGAAAATATTATAATAATGTAAAATAAATATACATAACATAAATTGAAATAACAAAAAAAAGAAAAGTAAAAAGATCAGATCGGTTTTACGGGTATCGGCCCGATCCGATATTTTGGAAAACGCTAAATATCGGCACCGATCCGATCCTATATTTAATATCGGCACAGCTCTACTGAAGATTTTGCTCATAAGAAGGAACAAAGGTCAAGACATACATTATCAAAATCTTCAGGCTTGCGTAATATTTTTCTGGCTAAAATATTGAGTTAGCCGTTTTTAAAACGAGTCGTTTAATAACACTAATGATGAGCTTATAAATCATAAATAGTCAAGTATCGATTAAATTTCTTTTTACTTCTCGAGGAAAACCGCTCATCATGACACTGTTTCTAGCTAACTCGCACATATCCGTCGAAGTCAACTTCCATACTTGGGCTGCTATGCTGTATTCTTCCATTAAAGGTTCCTGTTTACCAAAAAAAAACATATTCGTATTTTGGTTTAAATAGGCTCTCCATTCAATTGATGTGGAGTTAAAATAATATAGTATTCAAGGGACCTTATAATGAAGATGTCTTTAAAACATTTCATCCATCCCTTAACTCTCCCATCACTGCCCTCGCATCATATCTCATGTTTAAAAAGAAAGAAAGAAAGAAAATTTCTTCTTGATATTCCAATCTATCATCTCATATAAAAAAATAAATAGAAAAATCAATTTATATACTATAAGAAATTAAAGATATTTTTTCCAAATACTCATATGTTGGTTTATTTATAATACATAAGCGGGCTAACGCGAACTCCCAGTAAAAATAAAAACTGGTAAATTTAGGAGCCAGGGTGAGATGAGGGTTTGAAAATGCTAATTTTTATTTTCTCAACTAGAATGTTCCCAAATTGTTATATTCTATGCTGCGTGCAAACCCAAGTAAAGAAATAAATAAATATAACTTTAGTGAAATGAAATTGTAGAGGGTCATCCGTCGATAAGGAAACGAGCAGACCTCTCGATAGGTAATCCGGCAAAGGATTCTTGTGGTAATTCAAGAATAGGGAATTATTGCTAAGGGGTGACATGGCTATCCCTATTTGGGCCAGGTAGTAAAGATACTGAAGCACTGGTGCCTGAAAAAAAGTAAAAATTTCAATAACTAGGTATATAAAAATTCTATTTTGCATTCTTGTAAGTTTTAATTCAAGAATAGGGAATTATTGCTGAGGGGTGACATGGCTATCCCTATTTGGGCCAGGTAGTAAAGATACTGAAGCACTGGTGCCTGAAAAAAAGTAAAAATTTCAATAACTAGGTATATAAAAATTCTATTTTGCATTCTTGTAAGTTTTAATTCAAGAATAGGGAATTATTGCTGAGAGGTGACATGGCTATCCCTATTTGGGCCAGGTAGTAAAGATACTGAAGCACTGGTGCCTGAAAAAAAGTAAAAATTTCAATAACTAGGTATATAAAAATTCTATTTTGCATTCTTGTAAGTTTATCATTTTTTTTTAAACCTTCATATTTTTTTTTTAAATACACCTTTTTTTTAAAAATTAATTTCTTTTCCATTCCTTTTCGCATCTTATTTATTTATAATTTTTTTTTTCCTATTCTAATTTACTTTATTAATCGTATCTTAAATCATGATTTAATTCATACATTTCGTTATCTATACTACGTTAATGTCTTAAAAAATGGTCATAGCGTACCTTCCTCAACAACAGTCCGTGAGATATATTTTCCGCGAGCATGAAACTGGTTATAAGATGTTGGGCAGGCCCGGCCTCCCCGCAATGAGGTCGCAGCACGAACGTGTTCAAGCCCCGACTCCTTTGCATATATTATAAAAAAAATTATTCATTAGGAAAATAAATAACAGGCAAAATAAAAGTGAAATGCATAATTTTTATTTGTCTGATATGAACCAGGGCGACTTAATTTATATAAGGGTCGAGAGCATCTTGTTATGCGACTCATTATAGGGTTCTAACTCGGCATTGATAACCGATTTACGAAAAAACCAAACTGAAAAATGGCTTTAATGGAAGAAAACCTAACTGGGGCTAAGCTATTTAGGAGGTTAGATAATTTAGATTCTAATATAAGAAGTCAGTATTTAGTTATGATGACCACACTATTTTATTTTTTAAAATCCCAACTTGTATCCTCGTTCTAACTCAAACATAAAATACATTAACCCAAGTAACAAATTGAAAAAAATCAGGATTCTCAGGAAAAAAAAAATTTAGTCACATCAATATTTTTAATGAAAATACATAAGGGGAATGATAGGATCAAATCAAATTCTAATATTCAATATGAACAACAAACAAGGATATCAAATGAGAGAACAGGGAGTCAAGTTATTTTAATTGTATGCTCAGATTAGTGTTGTTATATCGGCTCATTTTGAGCCGTTTTTTAAAAATGGCTAACTCAATATTTTAGCCAGAAAAGTATTGTCTAAGCCTCGATACATCGATAATATATGTCTAGACCTTGGTTCCTTCTCTATGGGCAAAATCTTAAGGCTTGCGTAATATTTTCTCTGAATGAAATATTGAGTTTATGTAATTAGAAGAAAAAAAAGAAGCTTACAAGTAATGATACAAGTGACCAATGAGAAAGAATCATATATGTTAAAAAAAATTTTGATGCAATCAAAAGTTAGAAAAAACAATTGGAAAAGGTTTTACCAATCTGCATGACATCTTTAATCCGATTATATATTTATATTTAAATTCCTGTTCATTTTATTTTTATTTAGCTTTCTACAAAAAAAATGGCTTAAATAATTTTCCATAATAAAAAAAATATCATTCAACAAAAAAAAAATGTGTAAAAAATTAACAACCAATAGTTTACGAAAACCAATCAAACAAAAAAAAATCAACCAATCATATTTGACGAATAAATACATAAAAGATAACCAATGGGTAATTGTGTCTCGCTAATTATAACCCTACCCAAAATTTTTGTAAACAAATATAATCAGATGTAAGTGTCCACGCAAATATTTCGCGCATCAATAAAAAATAAAGGAATTATTTTTATAAACGTATTCGCGTGCGAAAGGCGTAGTTTAAATGACAAGATTAAAAGGCGTGGACGGCTGAATTACTTAATCCCCTTAGTCGATCTAGGAAGAGGTACTTATCACATATAAATTTGAGAAAAAATAAAAATATAACTTAAACTTTCTAAAATGGTTGAGGGTCATCATGTTAGCCCACATGTAATAAAGGTAATAAGAATATGGCGGATTTTCGGGGGTATTCCAATCGACCGGAAGAGGGGATAAAGAATTGAAATATTCGTTTTCCGTTTTACTTTCGTCGTCAACCGAATCGAACCCTACGATCTATTTATTTATTTTTAAAATGATGATATTTTTTTTTCATTTAATTTCCATTCTCATTCTCTTCTTTTACCCTTTTTTTAATATATATATGTATAGTATTCCTCTCCCAGGTGTCGAACCGTTTATTATAACTGTTTAGGTTATAGCCAATGACATATAACAATACCTAGACTTGACGATGCATTCATTAAAAGTGTACATCAATGGAAAACAGCTGGGGGCGCCATTTTGGTTACCTATTTCTCTCCCAGGTGTCGAACCGTTTAATATAACTGTTTAGGTTATAGCCAATGACATCAAATAATACCTAGACTGACGATGCATTCATTAAAAGTGTATAACAATGGAAAACAGCTGAGGACGTCATTTTTGGTTACCCGCATCTTTATTAAAAATTTTAAACGAGAGGCCAATTTATTCCTATGTCTGACGCAAACTTCATTAAAGGAATTGCCTGATCATCGAGACAATGAGGAAGCAAAGTTATCGATTTAATAGTAATTCTTAACATGAAAATTATTACTATATGGGTTACCAAAATGGCGAGTCCAGCTGATTTGCATTCAATGACGCTTTCAAAATGCATTATTATGAATGTTCTTTCTTTCTTAACAGTTTAAATTTAAACTCCCGTTTTTTTGGAACAAATTTTAAAAAACAATTTATTTAGGGGTTGCTCATCAAAGTTACTTATGAACTAATTTGTTAGAAGTTACAAGTTACATTCTTAAAATAAGAGTAACTAATTAGAGTTACATTCCAAAAGCAACTATACCTATAGTTAGTGTTGTTAAACGGCTCGTTTTGGGCCGATTTTTCTTAACTCAATATTTCATCCAGAAAAATATTGCCTAAGCTTCAAGATTTCGATAATATATGTCTAGACCTTTGTTCCTTCTGTGAGCAAAATCTTCAGGCTTGCCTAACATTTTTCTGGATGAATTGTTGAGTTGCTGTTTAACAACACTTACCTATATTAGTAGTTAATTTATAAATTATAACTTCATCATTTATTAATATAGTTTTTTTTTAAAAACCCTATCAAAAATCTTTCAAATTATGCTTTAAAAAAAATAATTTAATTAAAACGGTTATAACCCGGCTTTAAAAAAAAGTGTTATAAACCGGTCCCAAACAATTTAGAACCGATTTCATAACGGCTCGGGCTCGTAGTTCCGAGATACCCTGTTTACTTCTTATCCATTTAATTTAACCCTTTCTTAATGTTCCATCTTATTCACAAATTATTTCACCCCCCTTACCCCTAACCCGTGTATTATCATTATTATTACTATAAATAATGATTAGACCTGGTTAAGGAACATGTACAATTCCGGATGAGAGCTGGGATCGTTAGTCGCCTCAAAGAGCGGAAGAAAAATGTTATTCAAAATTTGCTCAAAATTCGAAACAAGATTTTTGGTTCTATATATGTCGCTTTTATTTTTTAAAAAATATATATTATTTAATTTATTTTTTTACTTTCTTTTTTCTTTCTTTCTTTTCTTAGCCGTGACTTGAACTAACGCACGTGATATTTAATAAAATATACTATAACTAACACCCCGTGATTATGAATAACATTTTATCACATGACAATTCATTATCACCTGATAACCGGCTATATTTAAAAATATGTTTTTAACGTTTCCATTTTTTTGAGAAATCAATCGAATAATTTTTTTCTCAACTTACTTTATTTTTTAAATTTTAAACAATAGCAACTTGCCAAAGTAAGGGTGTTAGAGATCCAGTAAATATCTCGTCACAAAATCACTTTTTAAAAGTAATAATTTTTCTAAATTGTGGTTCAATTAAAATATTCAAATTTTATTTATAGATGATACGAACATATGTTTCACTTTCTAGCACGATCAAAGAATACGAGCAGTCAAGCTCAGCATATGTTGCGAGGTTTGCTTCGTCAAAAGCTCATCATCCTTAAGATCTTATAGACCTTTTTTAAAGATATAGAAAGGTTTATTATTCTCGTAAATATAGGGGGCTCCATACAAAAAAAAATGTAAGGAATACCTCAACATTTCCGCAACTCGTCAATAATTTACAGTTGGCCTTAAACAACAAGGACACTTGCACGCTTCCTAGAAATTGCGACGATGGTTTGGTAGACATACAAATCACAAAGGATAAATTTATAATAATCATATAAATAGATTTTTTAAATAAAAAACATTTGAATCTCTCCCTAAAAAAGAGTTCCATCTCTTGAAGAGAAGGAATTGGTAGAAAAAATATTAAAAAACCTAAAAGGCTTATAACAAGCTAAAAATCCCAAGAATCCAAGTTAAAAATAGAAAAAAAAAATATGACCCTTTAAAGATATTCACAATGTACAGACTAATTATCAATAAATGCGAGTGTAATTATTTAAGCCAGCATTTTTTTTCCCAGTTGCTAAAGAGGAAATAAAAGATCGGAAGAAAACGATATTCTGCCGGGAATTCACTTTCAAGACGAGATGATGCGACATAATCTCAAACGTTATCCCGAGGATATGTTCGTGGGATGCAACCTACAAGTTAAATAAGATGAGAATGGCGAGTCACAAATAGTTTCACTTTGGCTTGTACAAAGTGAAAGCTATAAACGTGTAAAAAAACAATGTGTGACATTATGGAATATCATAATAATAATTTAACGAATCTTGAGGTTATTGTGGCTGATAAAGATATGGCAGATAGAAGTGCCTTCTATGATAGTTTCCCAGCAGTGAATATTCACATTTTGTATTTTTCATGCTTTGAAGGATATTTAAAAGAGAGATTCACAGCTGACAAGAGAAAGATTACTAGATCTGAGGCTAAAACAGTGCTGGAAATACTAAAAAAATGGTATACAGTAAGACTGAACATATCTACAATTATCTTTTATAAGAAACTCATAGATTTAAAATTGCCCTTAGTTTTCTTCGTATTTTAAATAAACAGGCATGGTTTAAAAATAGTATCAATATCAAATAGATGAATTTGGATATGAAGTGACATTTCATTTAGAAATGATTTTTAAAGGCATATAAGGGTTAGAAGAATAGAATAATAAATTTCTGTGGTATAAAATGCATCGGTGACTACTGGTAGCCTCTCAAGATGCCTTTCAAAAACCTGAGAACCAACTACTTGTTGATGAATCTGAAAAGAAAGGACATTTAAAGTAGAATTTTTATTAACCTCTTTTAATTTTTCTTGATTAAGAGATTCGAAACGATTGTTTAGTAAAATTGAGCAGCTGGGGTGACCTCATTTCTCCAATTATATAACCCATTCTTTTCTAATAAAGCGCCAATACGTATTAAAATACAATGAAAACTAAGGGGAATTTTAAATCTATTAATTTCCAATAAAAGATAATAGTACATATCTTCATTCATACTGTATACCTATTTTTCCAGTATTTCCAACACTGTTTTAACCTCAGATGTAGTAACATTCTCTTGGTCAGCTGTGAATCTCTTTTTTAAATATCCTCAAAGCATGAAAAAAATACACGCGTGGAATACTAACTGCCGGGAAAATGTCATGGAAGGAACTTCTATCTGCCATAATCTTTATCAGCCATAATAATTACAAGATTTGTTAAATTATTGTTATGATATTTCATAATGTCACACATTTATAGCTTTCACTTGTACAAGCCAAAGTGAAACTATTTGTGACTCACCTCCATCAATTATCAGGGTAATAAATAGAGGCATCCCGCAATTATTTAACTGAACATAATCTGTGGGTATCGTTTGAGATTATGTTGCATCATCTAGTCTTTAAAGTAAATTCCCAGCAGAATATCATTTTCTTCCGATCTTTTACTTCCTTTTTAGCAGCTGAAAAAAATGCGGCTTAAATCATTACACTCGCATTTACCGATATTTGACTGTACATTGTGAATATCTTTAAGGATCATATTTTTTTCTTCCTATTTTTAACATGGATTCTTGGGAATTTTAGCTAGTTAGCCTTTTAGGTTTTAAATACTTCTTTACCGATTCCCCCCTCTCTTCATGAAAAAGTACTTTTGGTTTAGGAAGAGATTCAAATGTTATTAAATGTTTTTAAGGAATGTTGTGGTATATATTTTTTTGAGCGATATTTTTTGTATGGAGCCCCCATATTTAACAAGAAAGATAAACCTTTTGATATTTAAAAAAAAAGATTTATTAGCACTTCAGGATGAGAAGCTTTTTAACAAGGCAAATCTCGCAACATATAAATTATCGTTAATCATGCTAAAAAGTGAAGCATATGACGGAAAATATTTCTCCAAAAAAATGTATCATCTATAGATAAAATTTTGAATATTTAATCGAACCACAATTTAGAAAAATTATTACTTTTATAAAGGTATAATATTGTAATGAGACATCTACTGGGTCTAACTCCTACACCCTGGCAAGTTGCTAGTTGCGAATTGTTTAAAATTTAGATATAGAAAAAGTTAAGAAAAATTATCACTTTGTCTAACTCCTGTACTATGGTTGTTATCCCTATTTTTGGCTTTATTTTCCAAAAAAATGGAAACATCAAAAAAAAATTTAAATATAGCGGTACATCAGGTGATATTGCATTGTCACATGATAAAATGTTATTAATAATCGTGGGTGTTAGTTCCAGTATATTTTACTAAATAACACGGGCCTTAGTTCTAGCCACGGTCTTCTTTTCTTCCTTAGTAAGAAACCTATTAAATTATTAGTACACATAAAACAATTCGCTTATTTCCTATTCGGGTTAAAAAAAAAATCAACCCATCTTCTCAGAGTTGGGTAAGTAAGTATCACGGATATTTTAAACATTTTTGAAGGTATCTTGTGCACTTAAAAGAGTATCGTATTTTGCATTTTCGATATAAACATTCGATAAATATTTGTATCTATATTCGATTTAATTTTCGAAAAAAAATTTGTCCAGCCCCTTATATCTTTCGGCATTTTATTCTTCCGGAATAGTGAGATCACATTTATCTATCCATAAATTTGTTCCTTTTAAATGTCCGTTTTTAAAACGCCACACTGCCGCGACGATCTATAGGCACCCATTCCTGAAAATAATTGCCCATAAAGGGGTAGGACGGATATTAGAAGTACTTTTACCGCTCAATATTTGAAAACCAAAAAAATTTAGGTTTTTTTCAAAAAAAAAAACTAGTAATGAAGAGAAAGAAAATCAACAAAAAAAAAAGATAGAAATAAAAAGAATGCAAATTTAAAGATAAAAAAAAACGAAAGAACGAAATAATAATAATCGCTTCTTTTACTAAAGTCTGGGCACTTGAATCAGGAATCTGACGTTTTCGGAATAAACGGCGAAATTAACGGCCCAATGAGCCAATTTATCCCATTCGTTCATGTCGGAGCCATATATAGATAATCTGGGTTCCGAGTTTGTGTACTTACTTTCCTCCAGGTCGGACATGACTTCCTTAAAAGGAGGAAGGAGAAAAAAAGTCGCGTAAAAAATTGTATGCGATGGCGGAAGAATATTAAATTAAAGTTTATAATACTTTCATAATTTTGGCAAAATATTTTCCGCCAACGAAGTTGTTGGTTTTGATAAAGATTTCCCTAATCTTGCTCTCCCCGATCGGGTTGTATTTAGCGTTGAATTTGTCGAACCTGTGAAAGGTGTCCCTATCCTAATTCGATAGATAAAACGTAAAAATAAAGATGATTATTTTATTTTCCGATTCTAAAAAAACACTTAATAAATACGAATAATAATAATAGGGTAGAACTTCCGCAAAACGCGAGACCTATCCGATAGTCCGATTATAACGGGACGGGTACCTAGCGGAAAATCTTTATGGCCCGATATGGGGGGTGGGGTCAATTAATCGAATTAATTTGTAAATTGACTGTTTTATAAACCGATACCGATATTAAAAATAGATAAGGCTTGCTATTTATTTGTTAATAAATTTTAAATTTTTTTGTTGTAAATTTGAATATTCAAAAAATATTTTATGTTTTACCGCGTGGACGTCTAGCATATCGACGCTGAGGTCTTGAGGGGAAATTTTCATTTCGTCGAAAACCTGTTGATAAGAGTCATTATAGGGATTATTTATGGAATCATGTGTGCAATCGAAATAATTTGCCCCCCCCCTCATTTTCATTTTTTTAAAAATATTTTCGGGTTTCGAACTTGGCTCAAGGTCTTGCCGTCTTTCGTAACGATTTCCACTTTACGTTCGCAGGCGCTTCGTTTGAGAGTCTTTTTGATAAACCTTAAAAGGTAACATTTTTAAGCGGTTGTTTAAACGGACTCAATATTTTGACCAGAAAAAAAGAAAGGCCTAAGCCTCGAGAATTTAGTTAATACATGTCCAAATCTTTTATGTGCCATCCAATGACGTATATAACTAGACTGACGATTCATTCATTAAAAGGTTACATCAATGCAAATCAGCTGGAGACGCCATCTTGGTTACACTAATCTCGTTTAAAATTTTAAACGAGAGCCTAATTTATTCCTATATCTGATGCAAAAAACTTTATTAAAGAATTATCGGATCATAGAGATACTAAGGAAGCTAGTTATCAATTTAATAGTAGTTTTTGACATGAGAATAATTACTATATGTATTACCAAAATGGCGGGTCCAGCTGATTTGCTTTTAACGACGCTTAAAAATGCTTTTTAATGAATGAATCATCAGTCTAGGTATTATATATGTCATTGGTGCCATCTATGAAACAAAAATCTTAATAGTGAGATGCAAATCGAGCGTTTCGAAACGCTGCGTCGCGAGAGCCAATAATGACTTTCAAAATGACCTCGCGTGCAAATTGGTAAAAATTACAGTTTGGAGTTTTAGCAACCATTTTTTAAAAAAATACGCAAATAGGTTTTCTATTCTTCGTGTTCGTAATATTATATATAAAAATGTAATATAAATAACTTACTTATAAATCCTAAATAAAAAGAGAATATATTTGGAAATTAAAGAAAAAAATAAGAACGCAGACGATAATATGTACTTTCAAAAGACAAATCCTTTTCTTTTTTTTAAAAGAAACTTATTTAAAATTTTTGAATAGAAGAATAATTAATAAAAAAAAAAGACAACCTCAATTTAGGTTAGTAAAGACCTAACAGCTCATTGGTCCAAATATAATGATAAGAAGGATAGATGTAAAATACCAGGATGCTTTAAAAAAAAATGTGGTGTATTTAATGTTTTTAAGCCCCAAAAATAATAGTTTTATAGATTTTCATAAAATTAAAAAGTATGAATATTTGGAATCCCGGAAAAACCCCCTGGAAAATAAACCCCCAGGAAAAAAACCCCCCAGAAAATAAACCCCCAGGAAAAAAAACCCCCGGAAAATAAATCCCCAGGAAAAAAAACCCCCGGAAAAAAATTCCCTAATAATTTTTTTTCATTTTTATAGAATTTACTTAAGACCTAATAATATAGGTATATTTTTATTTGGCCTACTCTTCATAAAAAAATTCTTAAATAAGAAAAACTGATGTTTAAATTGGTACTGGGAAAAAATGCCTCAGTAAAATAACTATGAATTGTAAAAAATTTTAGTAAAAATACAATACCATCTTTAAATATGATATTAAATAGACTTAATTTGACATAATAAGAAATGTTTATTTTATTGGTAAATCATGATTATGTATATACAAATTTTATAATTTATAATAATATTATATGGGTTGACATCGAATATTGAAGGAAATCGCTTTTATAAAATCTGGAAGGCTTCGCACCCCATCACGGTATTCTTCGCAAAGTTTCTTTAGCTGAATCTGGTTGTTAGAACTCTGCGATTTTGATTTCGATGTCCAACTACCTACACGCCATCTTTCAAGTTTGGTTTCATCGGCAGCCACCTAGCATTTCATTTTTTTAATGAGTACCCAGATTGATGGGTGTTTATTCCCAACCAGATTAGAAAAACGATGATTCCAACCTTCGCATTGGTTATTTGTTCGTTCTTCATCTGAGAGAGTGCTCTGATTCGCGTTCCAGGTTTCTGGAGGAAATCGAGGCTCAATTCGACGTGTTTGGGATTTAGAATTGCTTCTTATGACCTCCCTTGATACTCCATTGACATATTTTTATCGAAATAATCAAGAATATCCTTACCATTGCTCGGAGTAACCGATCTCAGGAATGTCATTGCATTGCCCATATCACATAACTAAACGAATGCTAAGCCGTTTATCATACCACAAAAAAAAACTTAGAGTATCATCGGTCCTGTATTCGTTTTCCAGACCCAGCTTCTGAATTTTTCTATGGGTACTTTGACACAAATGATAAAAACATCCTCTAATTACGATGTGATCCCCTAATTGAAAAAATAAATATAAATTATTAAACATATTAATAATCATAACCAATGATACTCTTAACCGCGTTCATATATAAATTTTATGAATAAAATATTTTTGTAAATTAAAATTTTTTTTTTGTCTTTATATACGGTGATAATACATTTTAATATCTGTTCATTTAACTAGTTGCTGAACAATAATATTTTTAACAAATTATTAACTTGCAATTGACTAAATACCAATTCAATATAAATTATTGCTAGATTATACTTAAATATGAGAGTGTATAAAAATAATTCCAAGGGTTTTTTTTCCTGGGGGTTTTTTTCCGGGAGTTTTTTTCCGGGGTTTTTTTTCCAGGGGTTTTTTTTCCTATTACCGAATATTTGATGTATTTAAATAAAGTTATATAACTATATATATATGGTGAATTCCATATCAAATCAACCAAAAAAAGTCGATTCTCAACCCGACCCTCTTCAATTTTTCTTAAATTTTGCATAATGGTAGTATAAACTATAACTAAGAAAAAAATGAAATTTTACCTCCCAACAAGGTTTACTCGCTAAGATATGGGGCGTTTAAAGCGCGGAAAAATAGTACATTTTTGACAAAATGTGCCTCATTTATTTTCAAATATCTCGAGAAATAATTAAGTTAGAAAAATAATTTAAATTTTATTATGTAGCTTAATAATAGTTCTTTAATATGACATAAAAATAAATATGATATAAATTTGATGAATGGCCAAAACCGGATGTATAAAACCGGAAATGGCCATAGAAAAAAAAAGGTATTTTTTTTTTCGAAATTTTTTTTCCGTAGATAGATATAACACTGCTTTATATTTGTGCCAAATCCTAGCCTGGGATGAAAAAGGGTCTAGGAGTTATGACTCTTTATATGGCTTAAATTGATCAAAAATATCTTCATTTAATGAATACTTATGAAATAATGTTTTTTTTTAAATTATGTCTAAATGATAGGCCCTAACTTTTTTTTATTTTTAATTGTTAACATGTTGTGACTGAAAATTACTTGACAAAATAATTCTAAACCAATTTATAACTTTATTTTTCTGAAATGCATAATTACATATAATATAATAATTCATAATTATGTTTACAATATATCATATATTAAATTATCTAAAGAATTGGTATAAATTTTGACTTTAATTTTATTTTCATCAAGGGGAATATAAGCATGGTATTTTTGTGTTCCCTGAATTCTTTTTGCTCTCAAAAATCTGCTTTCTAGATGATTTTCCATATTATTGTATTCATTATTGCTTACAAAAATGTAATTTACTCCATGTATATTATTTGTTGCAAAGTCGAATAAATCCATTGGTGTCAAAATATGGTTTTGATATGGCAGTTGCAAACTAGCTCGAGCTGCTAGCCGTTTTGTAATACCTCCTAAACTGTCGCACGGACTTATTCCATGAGCTGTAGCAAAAAAATGCCACTCGGCCTTTATACCAAAATCACATTCATGATTATAGAGATTTATGAAATTTTTTTTTTTTATATTGGATTACGGCCCCAATCAGAAAAATAATAAATTTTGGTCAATATATCAAATCTTTCTTTTAAAAATAAGGTCATTTTAGTTTGAAATAAATAAAAGGCACAGGCATTGTGCTTTAAGCAATCTGATATCACCACTAAACTTATATGTTTTATAGTGTTGTCCTGACGATAAAAAATGATAAAAGGGTGAATAGTGGACTGATTATTTGTCCAATGAAATCCCTGTGCGCATGGTCTTGCACTAAAAATGCATAATTTTCCGAAAAGTCAGCAATAACTAAGTATTCGCCAACATTTAAATTAGATTTTAAATTGTTTTGAAATAATGATTGTTGTGATGCTATAAATGAATGTGGAATCAAATTGTCTAATTTCTCAATTAAATAATCTAGGAATTTATAAGCTGATTTTGTCAGCGTTTCGAGCGTAGTTCTATCAACTACCAACCATTGTTTAAATGATATATAATCTATTGAATTCGTATCAAATAATATAATAAGTCTTTCTTTTATTTGGGATGATCCAGGACAAAATTTACATTTATTGAAGTAACATCCAGGCTGGGCAGGATTGCAAAGACTTTGTGCAATACAATGTTTATAATCGTTTATTGGAGGATAATTATAATGATCATTATTGTTTGTAAGCTGTTTTAATTTTCCCCCTATTAAAATAAGCTTAAAATTTTGGTGTAGTGTGCAGATACACATGGTATGTGTACCTGGTCCACCTGCTAAAACACAGTTTTTGGGTCGTAAGAATGCAAATCTATTCACTCACAATATGTTAACAATTAAAAATAAAAAAAAGTTAGGGCCTATCATTTAGACATAATTTTTAAAAAAACATTATTTCATAAGTATTCATTAAATGAAGATATTTTTGATCAATTTAAGCCATATAAAGAGTCATAACTCCTAGACCCTTTTTTATCCCAGGCTAGGATTTGGCACAAATATAAAGCAGTGTTATATCTATCTATAGAAAAAAAATTTCGAAAAAAAAATACCTTTTTTTTTCTATGGCCATTTCCGGTTTTATACATCCGGTTTTGGACATTCATCAAATTTATATCATATTTATTTTTATGTCATATTAAAGAACTATTATTAAGCTACATAATAAAATTTAAATTATTTTTCTAACTTAATTATTTCTCGAGATATTTGAAAATAAATGTGGCACTTTTTGTCAAAAATGTACCATTTTTCCGCGCCTTAAACGCCCATATCTTAGCGGGTAAGCCTTTTTGGGAGGTAAAATTTCATTTTTTTCTTAGTTATAGTATATACCACCAGTATGCAAAATTTAAAAAAAATTTGAAAGGGGTCGGGTTGAAACCTTGGTTGATTTGATATGGAATTCACCATATATATATATATATATAGTTTATAGTACAATAAAAATTATTGTGGGAAAATTAAACAAGGGAGGCGTTACGTTTTTTTTTATCGTTTAAAAATTACGGCAAAACGCGAACGCTCAATTTGTGGGCACGATTGCTTAATATTTTCCTGAATAAATTATTTGAGTTTACACGGACCATAATACTTACAAAACTTTAAGTAATAGTTGCGCGTACAAATTGAACGTTTTCAACGCGGCATTTCAAAAAACGCAAAACATTGCAACTCAGATATTCGTTTAAAATTGGACACATTTCCCGTTTTAATCATTTTAAATTAATTTATTTTTAAAAAACAAAATTTTTAAACTTTTGAAGTGATAGATAGCACGGACACGAAATCAAATCTAAAAAAAAGTAGCGTTGTTAAACGGCTCGTTTTGGGCCGATTATTTCAAAAAGGGCTAACTCAAATATTCCATCCAGAAAAATATTACGCAAGGCTGAAGATTTTGCTCATAGAGGGAACGAAGATCTAGACATATATTATCAAAATCTAAAGGTTTAGACAATAATTTGGCTAAAATATTGAGTTAGCCGTTTTTAAATAATATTTTTAGCTTATGGAATGAGTTTTTTCTGATTAAATAAAGGGGGCAAGCCTTTTTTTTTTCTTCTTGGTTTTGAAAATTTAGACACGCTTTCAATTTAAACATAGTCGCGTTTACGTTTTTGAAAACGCTGCGATGAAACGTTCAATTTGTTGCGAACTATAGCGTCATTTTTTTTTAAAACACACAACATAGGTTTATAATACTATCGAGAATGCTCTAAAGGGGGATTTAACCTAATTGAAGGCGATATATCTCACCCATAATTCTTGAAAAAGTGATAAAAATTTTTAGTAGCATAAAAAAAAATGTAATCATTATTGCTTAAACTTTTTTTTAAAAATCCATAGAAAAATTTTTAAAATTCCCTATTAAGAGTTGGTCCAAAAAAAAGGGAGGATTATCGCATTTTTAAGATCATCTGTCTAACCGGACATGGAAAAGTAAAGGCTACCATTTTTATTTTTGAGTTTTATAGGAAAAAAAAATTCCGAGAAAATGCTTAGCCCAAGTGGCCATTTGTTGCAAAAAAAAATCCTTAACAGTTCTATATCTTCTTTTTTTTTGAACTTAAGTAAATTTTCGGATTTATAGAAGAAAATGTATTCAATTAACGGAAGAAGCCTCGTGCATGAATGCTATAAAAGTTCCTCGATACTCTATAAAAAAAAAAAAAATTTTAGCAAAAATCTCCGCCGGGAATGCTTTTGATCACGCCTTTTAAATCGCGCAAGAAGTCGCGTGTATGAATGCTATAAGGTCCCGCTAAACTCTTATAATATAGTTATAAAATAATTTTAGGAGAAAAAAAAAACTTTAATTAACCAAAATATACGTAAAATCTTCCGCAATAATAAAATAATTTGGTCTACCAAGGGGCTCTAACCTGAGCAAATGCTTCTGGTTCATGCAAGAGGCGGCGTGTATATGGGTGTCCACCTTGCGAATGTTGTAAAAGTCCCTGTGCTTTATGCACTTTTGTCCGCTCGTCTCCCTCAACTCGTTCAGGTACAGGTGAAGCTGAAAACGGCACGATAAGTAACAAAGGCGTCGGTAAGTGAAAGATTTTCTAAAGGTAAAAAAAAACAATTTTTTATTCCTCTATAGTAATACAATACGAACAACCTAATGGTACATCGTAATATTACCAACAAATGAAGAATTTATTTATTTAAATGTATATATATCAATACAAGTCAGCTGGTGATAACGCCATTTTTATTTTCCCAAAATTATAAGAAATAGGATTAAATTTATGTATAAAAAAACAATTATTATACGGGAAATTCAAAATGGCGAATCAACATATGATTCGTATTGAGCGATTTTTCAAAATGCCTGATCAATATTACAGTCAATTCAGTGTAATTTTAAATATATGGAATTAAAAATAACTTCATTTGTCAAAAATAAAATCTACAAATTTTTTTAAAATGTTTTTTATAACGCGTTTTTTTGAAAAAAAAATCTAATTTCGCCAGAAATGCATTTAAGCATGTGTAGTTTAAAAAAAACTTCTAATTAAAATTAACTATCAGCTAGATATATGATAACACGATATCCTCGAAGTTAAAATTAAAGACCCGTACCATATTACCCCTCCCCCTCATAGATTGAGAATGGGGCAGTTTGGTATTAAATAGATTTTTTACGATAATAAGAGTTAATGTCGTATTTATAAATTTTGATGTTAAGCTATCAAAAAAAATTACATGGTAACGTCCGTCAGAATATCTTGCAAAATGAGGGAATCCTTTAAATATTCGTCCTTTCCTAAACGGGGAAACATGAATTCCTCGTTTTCGAAGCATTTTAAACCATTTTCACCTTGGTCCTCCTTGGTGCAATTTCCGTTTTTCGCGGAATCAAAATTCGGGATACCATTTTGTTTCCCGTGATTCCCCGTGGAATGACGTAGGATGTTAAAAATCCCGTCCTTCGAGATAACCTTGAGATGTAGATCCGGTAGGAGAGAGCATTCGTAAGGGTTTCCCTTCTTGGTCATGGTTGGAGGATTTATAGGGTGATCTGGAAAAAAAAAATTCGCGAGGACAAATTATAAAATTATCATTTTTGGAGTATCGATCCACAATCCGTTAAAAATTTCAAGGTAACTGGACCTATACCGCTAGTATTTGCGTATCTCCGCATTTGGATCTTATTCTTCTGATCTTGCCTTATCTCATTCTCTCTCAGGTATTATTCTCGATTGGATGTAAGGAAGAACGAAATTTTATAAAAAAAAATATTAATTCCAAATCAATCACCTTCTAGACTCATCTTATTCTCTTGTTTGACGATGTCCGATTGAAAATGGGAGAATTTGTAAAGCGATTTCAGGTACCTGGAACTGAAAGTTGGGAAGGATTGAAAGGAGAGGTACGCGTATTTCTCTCTCAGTCTCAGACTCTCGAAAATAGCCTTGGACGAGTGTATGTAGTCGTAGATCGGCACCTGTCAATTCAACAACAAAAAATTATAATTTTCTGTTTGATTCTTTCCTCTATTGACTTTTTACTAAATCCGCATTCTCATCATTTCCAGATGTTTAGAAGCCCGTGAAACAAAAAATGGGGGGAAAAAATGTCAATAAAAAATTAAACATTAGATAAACCCTCCGCTATAATAAAATCACACATCAACCGATTCTAAAACCGGTAATTTTTAAATGAGTTCCGGTATTTATGTCCTAGTTTAATTTGGTCATGAGTTCAGTAGCAGGAAAGAGAACATCTGTCTTAGCTTCCTTTAAGTAGCAGGAAAGAGAATATCTGCCATATCCGGTGACCCAAAAAAAATTTATTTATCTTCGCCAAAATTATTAATTTGGGAATTATGCCGTTCAAAATATCTCATGAATTTTACGTTTTCATCCGTGCCATTATAAAAATAATTAAATACATGTTTCAATATCAATCAAAAAATATGCATCACGACGCCATTCCGCCAATTTTTTTACAGCGGGGGGACCCCGACATTTTTTTTGGGCGTTGGCGTAGTCGAAAATCACCCGTGGCGGCTAATTTACACGGCGTCGCACGGGTCTATCTATGTATATAATTATGATAATTCACCCCGATCTCATCCCCGCTCACGGATACTCTTTGATACTGGATAGACTCGCAGTCGTGCAGGAAAGCACTATCTCCGGGTAACGTTGAAAGGTCATTTAGCCCCGGGGTCCGTTTGGCCTCACTTATGTTTTATTATTTTTTGATTGAAAAGGTATATAAAATAGAAAAATACTCTTTTGAATAGTTGCTGCTAGTTTGCGCTCACTGTTTGGCAGACAAGGTGTCTTCAAAAAAAAAACCAACATAACCAGGGTTTCAAGAAATCTTAGCGTTGTTACTCGACTGAAAAACTGAGCCAAGTTTTGGGTCTAAAAAATCAACCCAATCTGACTTGGGTTATGAACTCGCGATATGAACTAGAGGACGAATATTTCATAATTACCTCTAAATGAAAAATATTTTAAGATATTTTTTTAAAAAAAATTAAGAATGCTAACCAACCCAAGAATATTGATCGAATGTTTGCTCAAAATTTTGGGCGAAAAAAAAATCTATAAATGCTCACTGAAGATTTTTTTTTGTTATTCTTTCTTTGAGAGAAAAGAAAGGAAGAAAGAAAGAAAGAAAGAAAGAAAGAAAGAAAGAAAGAAAGAAAGAAAGAAAGAAAGAAAGAAAAAAAAAGCTGAACAATAATTTTAAAAAAAAACCTCGAGTCTGTAATATCGCCATCGATCTTAAGATCGTTTATCGCTAACCTATCCGCCCCGTTTATCAGTGGGAAGGTTTGAGTGAGGTGTACCGAATGGGGGACGTGGTGAGACTTTCGCTTGAAACTCATCTGATCTTTTATCATGCTTTTCGCCGCTCTGGTTTCTTGTTCCACTTCCTCGATCGGATATCTGGGGAGATCGAAGGAAGCCCGTATTTCGGGTTTCAAAAGAGAAAGATTTAAACCGGATATGGGTTTCGAGTCTTCCGGGATGGGAGAGCAAGAAAAAATAAGTAATATACATTATATACTGCTAAATCGGGTTTCGAATCATTCCACGAACAAGCGGATTTTTTATCCGATACTGGTCTTTAGAATTTTATAAGTCCTTTTTTATAACGCGTGACGCAAAACGTAAAAAAAAACATTTTGGCCGCTAAAAAGGGAGAAAGGAGAGCTTTGTTTCAAAACCTTATTTTGTTTTGTCTAGTAGGTCCTAAAAAACCGTTTTTAACATTTTCGCGGGGATTTTAAAAAAATCCGCCCGGCCCGGATTTTAAAATTGACTCGGCCCGGCCGGGATTTATAGAATGTGTTTTTTTTGGAATAGAAAAAAACCGTCAATTTCTAGCGACTCCTTAGAATGCGATTTGACGTCCAGTTTATAGCTATTGATCATATTCTTATCGAACAGGGGAAACTTTTGGGGTGCCCCGAGCAAGGGTGGGGGAGGGGACGGAGAATGAGAGCTATTTCGGCGGGAACCATTGAATCTTTGCGACATCCTTTTTTCTTTGTTTTTTGGTTTCGATCAAATCACGTACGTCTTGAGATATTAAAAAAAAAAATTTATTTTAATATCCTGTTCTCTTAAAAAATTTTTTTATACTTAATTTAAAATCACGTGGTCTGCGAAAAATAAAATCAAGTTATTTTCGAACTTCTCCATTTTTATTCTTGATTCCCTCTCCGCATTCCCTTGTCTTCGCGTTAGCAGAGACCAGCACATCGGGAGCACAAGGCGGGGATAGAGGCCTACAAATTCCTCCAAAACTGCTTATTCACGTGTCCCTTAGAAGCTTAGATGAATATGGGGAAGTGGTGGGGGGGGTTTATAAAGGATAGACGAATTAATCTTCGCCATGGGCCGCCATATTGGCGTGTGCGCGCCAGAGCCGTGTCGATATTGAATTATCGGCATGGGGGGAGGGTTAGTTTTAACCTTTATATACAAAAAAGAAATATTCTCAAATATATTCTTCTTTTTAAACACAAACCCCCTCCCACTCCTCCATTTTTTACCTTGCATTTTTTTTTAGTAAGGGTAAAAAAAAATAATAAAACAATTGACATCTAATTATCTCGTACCTCGAGGATAGAAAAAAAATACATTAAAATATCTGTTTTAGTAAATATTAATTTTATTGTTTTTTTTTGCAAAAAAAAAAATCGATGAAAATAAAATAAGATTTAAAAGATAAATATTTTGCTAGTAGGGTTCGGTCCGACCAGCTAAAATTCTAATTTCCGGCCAGGTCCGACTTCCTATTAAAAATATTAGACACGGAGCGGCCGACGGGCTGGGAGGAAATATCAAGACTACTAATTACGGGTAAGCCTCCATACATTGACCAAGAGGGAAGATGATTCTATTAACTCTTGGAGGATGAGGTAGTATGGGGAAAAGGTAGGGGGAGCATCCAAGGGGCAAGATGGTCCATGTTATCGGGCGTTGCTGGCGAAAGCTCGGAGATTAGGTAAATTAAAAACGATTTTTAAAAAAAAATACCCGAGGTGATAGATGATAAACCCTATAACCTTTATCTCTCGAGGATTATTGATCGGGTTTCTAGTAGAGTCGATAGGAAGGCAGCTTGCGTTGTGAAAGTAATTTTTAATTACAGTTACATCCTTTAAAAAGTAACGGTTTCCAGTAAATTTTAAACGAAATCAAGTACCTTGTAAAAAAATTTCTAAAGTAACTAGTTACAAGTTTTCAAAGAGGCTAAAAAGAGTTTTCATGAGAAGTTATTAGAACTGAACCTAAGGTGGTAAAGATAAAATGGTGCCACCTTCGTAGGTTCGGTCGTATTATTATTTCATTTTTATTTTTAAAAATACGGCTTAAATTTATGCGGTTTTTATGTTGTGTTAAAGAAGATTTAATCTAATGAATGAATGACAGTGACCAGCTGATTATCTGTTTAAAAAATTTAGAGTTCTCATGAGAAGTTACCTGAACTGAACCTAAATGTGGTCAAGATAAACTAGTGTCACCTTCGAAGATTAGGTCGTATTATTATTTTATTTTTTAAATATGGCTTTAATTTATAAAAACATGATCTTAATGTTGTGTTAAAGAAGATTTAATCGAATGAATGACAGTGACCAGCTAATTATCTGTTAAAAATTTAGAGTTCTCATGAAAAGTTACTAGAACTGAACTCAAGGTTATCAAAATAAAGTGGTGCCACCTTCGAAGGTTCGGTCGTATTATTATTATTAAATATGGCTTTAATTTATAAACCTTGTTTAATGTTGTGTTAAAGAAGATTTAATCTAATGAATGAATGACCTTGGAATGAATGACAAAAAAAAATTTGAACAATAAAATGTGATGAGAAGAAAAAAAAGTAAAAAATTTAATATTTTATTGATTTTTTTATAATATTTTATTTTTTGCCTAAAAAAATAAAATGGCGAAAGGTACCTTTTAGATTTAAATCCTTATAAAGATTGCGGAAATAAAAAAATAGAGGATTCTATTTTCATTCCTTCTTCCTCTTTCTCATTTTTTTTTGATACTTTCCATTTCTTTTCTTCTTTACTAAATTTTCTTTTCCCCCAAATTATTTTTCTTTACCTATTTCTATTTAAATTTCTGCGATTTTTAAAATAAAAAAAGTGGATTCTATTTTCTTTCTCTTTCCTCATTTTCTTCATTTCATTTTTTAACTTTCCGTTTCTTTTTATTTGCTAAATTTACTTTTTCACCGAATTACTATTTTTTTATCGTTATTCTATTTAAATTTCCGCGATTTTTAAAATAAAAGAGTGGATTCTATTTTTTTTCCTTTCTTTCTCTCTTTTTTATTTTCTTCATTTCATTTTTTTAACTTTCAATTTCTTTTTATACTCTTTCCATTCTCTATTCCCCGATATATTTTTCTTTACCAATTCTAATTAAATTTCTGCGATTTTCAATCTTTTTTTCCCTTAAAAAAATGGAAATGGCGGAAAATATCTAAATTTAAATCCTTGATTAAGATTGTAGAAATAAAAAAGGCGATGCTATTTTCTTTCTTTCTTTCTTTCTCTTTCCTCATTTTCTTCATTTCATTTTTTAACTTTCCATTTCTTTTTATTTGCTAAATTTTCTTTTTCCCCGTATTATTTTTTCTTTACCTATTCTATTTAAATTTCTGCGATTTTCAATCTTTATATTTTCTTTAAAAAAGAAAGAAAATGGCGGAAGATATCTTTTAAATTTCAATCCTTAATTAAGATTGCATAAATAAAAAATAAAGGATTCTATTTTCTTTCTTTCCTTATATTCTTCATTTCATTTTTTTTTAAACTTTTCGTGTTCTTTTTTATTTCTTTTCTTCTTTGCAAAAATTTTCTTTTCCCCCCAAATTATTTTTCTTTTACCTATTCTATTTGAGCTTATTAAGACTACGTCAAAAAGTTAATTGATATCAAGATCAAACTGTCCAAAATAAAAGCAAACAAACTTTAGAAACAGTTTCGCGATTATATTGATCACGAATAGTAAAAATCAGCTGTAAATTGGACGTAAAATAAATCAAAAATTTTAAACGTCGAGAATTTTTTTTTAAAAAAACTTACAAAAAGCCCGAAAAAAAGGATTGAAAATTAATATTTTTTTTTAAAAAAAATTTAGATCTTACTTTGTATATTTTTCTTTCCCTATTTTCCTTCCAAAAAAAATATTTAAATCTACCGCCATTTTGTGCCGATTTTCCCGAGGGTTTTTTAAAAAAAATATTTTATCGCGATTTAATTATATGTAACTTAGCGTTTTTTAAATCGGTACATTTTTCTTAAGTCATAGTAACTGTAAACGTTTACAACAAAAAAATATTTGAGGTAATAGCAACTTTGTTACTACATATTTTTTTATAAACTCTAGCTAACAGTAATGGTAGCATGTATTTGTATTAGAGTAGGCAGTTAGATTGAGATTTCGGGAAACCTCTTTCAATTGATTAACCCTTATTTAGTTAGAGATTAAAAACGAGAAATTTTTGCTCGTTAGCAAACAAAAAATGATCCTTTTTTTGTAACTGTTAAATAATTAGATATTAATTAAAAACCGATTCAATTTGAAATATCAAACTTTATAGGTTTAAAATTTAACTCAATAATTGTTAATTATAAGGAAATCAATCACAGATTTTTTTTAGTAGACTCATATTTTTGAGTTAAAGTATATGAATGTTCAAAAAATTTGGACTTTGTTAGGTATTTAATGAGTTATAACGGTTTTTTGGAACACCCTGGTCATTCATGTAACTCTTTTTATTTTCATCTGTTTTGGAATTGATACATATTTAATTAACACTTTTTTACTCTTTTTATACATAGTTTATTAATTAAAAATTATAATAATATCGATATTTGAACGGTAAAACATTCTACATATAACATCAATTTTTATTCATATTTTTCATGGCCAAGGCAATTAATTTGGCACATTAATAGGAATGATTAAGTGTAATTTTGTTTGTTGTTTTACTCAATTTTTAAGGCATAACATTGTTTATGAATATGACTCATTAAATATTTTAAAATGCTTTTATTGTTGCAGATTAGCATTGTTAGAAACTAGTTACATTTGTGCTAAAAAATAACTTTAGCTAGTTATATTTGAAATATAATTGTTAATTTGTAAGTGTAACTAGTTACATTTCAAAAGTAAAATTTTTAACATCCTATCTTTTAAAATTTCATTTTTTTTTTAATATTAAAATTATATTAGTCATTTTTATTCATTTATTATAAGGAAATTATAAATAATATTATATATATAAAATACAATCATGAAATAGCCAAAAACAATGATATTATATTGGATAGGATCATTTTTTTAAAAAAAAATATCAGCCTATTGTTCTTAATCTGTTCCAATATTAGCACAACTCTAAAAATTGCAATATTGAAAAAATAGACCCACTCTCTCCACCATAATTTCCCATATCTATAACTGGGATGGGAATAAGACACAAATTTCTAATCAATTCTGAATTGCATCAGATAATAACAAATGGCTTATATCCCTGATTAAAATTAACATAAATTCATTTATAGAAAGTTTAATGATAAAATATTAACTAGCATGTGATTTAATTTATAAAAAACACATTTATAGAAAGTTAAAGCTTCATAGCATGTGATTTAATTTATAACAAATGCATTTATGGAAAGTTTAAAGCTACCTAGCATGTGATTTAATTTAATGATTGAGTAAGCACATGATTAGATTTAATTCACATTTAATTATTTCTATTTATTTTATATTTATAAATATGATAAAGTTTAATGTATAGTAATACAAATAAAATAAGTATTAATGTATTAGTAATCTTTTTATAAATTTAATTTTATATTTGGGTAGGTTATTTTATATCATAAAATTTTAAGAAAATTAAATATAAATAGTATTAATATTATATATGGTGTCAAACAACTATCAAGCCATTTAAAATAATAAACATATATTAATATTATATATGGTGTCAAACAACTATCAAGCCATTTAAAATAATAAACATATTTATATTATCAAATGAAAGTTTTGTCTTTGTATAAAATATTATAATTAAATGTGGTAAGCTTGAGAAAAAAATATAAACTGAATGAGGACAGAAATATATATTCTCTATAAAAGAATATTGATTATATAATATATTAATAGAATAATTTTTAATAATTTAATTAAAAATCTAAACATTTTATATAGGATGTTACTTTTCCAATTTTTTATATATACAATTGTAGAATGATAAAATTGAAAATTAGGGTAATTAATATTTCTAAGTAAGAAACAAAAGATATACCTCGTAAACAAAATTTTTAAATTTTGAATGTAACCGAATCTCAAAAAGCGAATAGAATAAATATTGATAGTGCACGTCCGATGTCTAATTTAAGCATTTTATTAAAAAACGTGTTCAATAAGGTGACATACAAAAAAATTGTTGTTTTTAAAATAGCATATAGAGGTAACATGCCTGAATTTAAGAGCAGAAAGTTAGGTTTCAGGTCAATTAAAAAATTAATTTGACGTGACCTGTCTGATCTCGAAACTGAAGACAAACTATCTCTCATAGATGTTACATTTCAATGGAAGTATTTTCAATTACCTTATTATCAAAAATGACCGTTGGCCTTGTATTCATATGCACCGAATTTTAAAAAATGAGCTAATTAAATTACTAATACCGCCAAATGATTGACAATACAATTCTCAAGATCAATATACATATACATATACATGCATGCAAAACATGATCAAAATTTGCTCTTGATAATTTTACAATAGAGAATTATATATAACAAATTTGCAAACAATTTTCGGGTATAGGACTTTTTAATTTATAAAATTTTAGTTTCTCTAAACAATCATTGAATAATACTTTGATGCCAAATATGTGATGTAAATTTTGTGAATTACAGTCTCAAATTTGCTAAAAATGGTAACAGATAGTATTTATTTAGCCAAATTATTAATCCGTATATTTAACAATCTTTAAGTTAAAAATATTTCGAATTTTTTAACAGACACACTACCTTTGATTAATTTACAAAAAAAGGCTTCAAATTATAAGACGGAACAGCGTCTACACGAGCGGGGGGGGGGGAAGGTAAGTGCAGTTAGCTTCTAATATTTTTAAGGGAGGGAGTGAGTTAGCATTTAAGAAATTTAGCTGGGGCTTATCTATTAAATTTTTAAAAAATTTTTTCAAATATAACTAATTTTTGGATAATTTTCTGCTCTCTTATTAAATATAATTTAAAAGGGTTAGACATCTAACAGCCAAACTATATACTTTAATAATGTATTAATTGAAAATGAATATATTTTTTAATTTAATTCATGTTCCAAAAAATAACTCTCTTACATTCACAATTTTTTGATTGATAATAGTTGACTCAACTTTTTGAAATTTTTGAATCGATCCTATATACTTAGTCCAGACATCAACAATATAATATCTGAGAACTCTAAATTTTAGTTTTTAAAAAATATTTAAAAGTAGAACACAGTGGCGTAATTACGGAGCAGGGGGGGGGGGGGTTAGATCCCTCCCCCCAATTTTTTTTTAGACTATACGTTCAAAAGACTCAAAAGAGACTCTATATTAAATAAATACCATGAATATTTATATTTTTCTGGTTTTGATGTTTGTGGTAGGATATTATAATACTATTGAAATTATTCTTTATAGTGTTATTATAAAGTCATTGAGAATAATCTACTAAATTATAAAAACATATTATTGATGTATTTAAAAAATATATTTATTATTAATTATCACTAATATAAATGATCAATAATTCTAGGACTTTTATATTATAAGATAGACAAATATGATTTTTAATATAAACCCGCTGGAAGGCCGGGCAAAAAGGCCGAAGCCCGTTAAAAGGGGTCTGGGGGGCGAAGCCCCACATGATTTTATATGTATGGACCCCCTCTAAGGAAAATTCTTAGCAACGTCACTGGTAGAACAATTATTTCATCTATTATAATCAAAATTCTTGTTGTGAACAATTATTTCATCTATTATAATCAAAATTCTTGTTGTGTATATTAGTTTTTATTTGTTCTTTAATAAAATATTTCAATTTATAAAGGATATTTGTCTCTTTTGTTTTGTATAGGAAATTTTATTTACACAAACCATATAAATAGGTTTTGCTATATGAACAAAACAAATAATTGATAGGTTCATAATGGCCATTATCGTATAAAGGAGAAAATGTAATTAAGTTTGGACAAGGTTGCATTCATTTTTCATTAAACTCTTAATTTGTAAACACTATTAGTCATATTATTATAGAGTGCTCTTACATAAATCCAGTAGTTCTAGCCAGGGGCGTCGCTAGCCTTTACAATTTCAGGGGGCTCAATTAAAAAAAATTTAAATTTGCGGGCTCTCGGCCCGCTTTTACCAGGCCTTCGGCCGGGTTTTCTATTATTTTATAATACTTTTTTTTGTTAACTCTGAACAATTATTCTGAATTTTAATTTTATCATATATTATTTTATGCATACAAAATAAACTGGCATATAAATAATTAAAACAATATAAGACATTTCTAAAAATAAAATTTTAATACAAAATCTATTTATTACAGTATAAAATATTTTCGATGTTGATATAAACAAAATTTGCGTCTAAAGAATTATAAGTGATAAAAAAGATTAATTAATTCATACATATGCCTCAATTGATAATAGTTTTTTAAAAACCACATAATGAAATAATATAATTCTTAGCAACTTACATTGACAAAAGGTTATCAAAATATTATAACTATCTTTTATCATTTTACACATTTATTAGGCCTAAAACCAAATCAACAATTCTTGAAGAAGAGAGTATAAATGACCAATCCAAATTATAAAACTATTAAGTGGTTAAAGCTTCCTTTAAGATGACATGATGGTAGCTATATAAGTAATCGAGAAAATTATTCTGAGATATTAAATTTCTAAAAGATTATCATCCATTTTAAATGATGTATAATATATAAACGACTACACAGTTGACCATTATTGTTTATCTAAAATATGCTCTCAACCGTTGTAGTAATAATCTTAAATTAAATAGCAACACAAATAATAGATGCTGATTAATTTGCAGTAATAGCCATGACACTCACGATGTAAACTAGTATCAGAATTTATTATGTTGGATAAATTGATACAATAAAAACACTATAAATCTTTGAAAGAAATAATTGTGCAAATATATTGAAACCTTGAGTTATTTACACAGACAAGGATGCCTTATTAGAAATGAAACATTTTCAAACTATAAAATAAGGACCAGAATGATATGATGAAACAATTAAGATTTTATATATTGTCGCACCACCTCTAGTTGGTATATTATATCATTATATCTTAAAATAATAGTAGTTTTTAAAATATCAAAAATATACTTGTATTATTAACTCAAAACTATTTTTTGAAAAAGGAAAAAATAGCTTTCCTAACGTATAAAAAGGAAATATATCAAATTTATTACATCTATTGTAGAATGAATAATAAAATGTTTAATTATAAAAATTATTTATAACTAAATAGATGGCGTTAATTACTTGAAAACAAATTGTTACTATATTTATTATCAAAAGCATTTATTAGTTAAATTAATTATAATATTAGCTGTAATATATTATTACTGTCAAATATGTCTATTAAAGTGCCATTATATCTAATATTTTATAAACAACTGTATATAGTAGAGAATTATAAATGTCTACTTACTTACTTTTTATTATACTTATTGGACCTTGAAAATATTTTTAGGAATAGGTATAATAATAAAATTTAAAAATAAATAAACAATTGATTAGTCATTTTGAACTCTGCTAATTACAATATTAAATTTTTTATTCATGTATGAAATTTAGCTCGGTTTATATATTATTAAAATTTGTTTAAATTCTTAATTTTTTAATTTACTTTTTATTATTTTTATCATTCATAAAATTAATCCAATTACTTGCCGACAAACGTGAAAATCATTACTGTCTCTTTGGCCCATCATTGCTTAGATGTGCAGGATCAAAATTACAAACAATACCTCTCATAGTTTTCTTGCACATTAATACCCTCAAATTTGTAACAAGCAATTTTGTTAAATCAATTTAAATATTCGTAATCCTATATACATAGTTTTGCTAAGAAATTTTAATTTTTATAATACAAATATTCATATGTTAAAAATAATATAAAACAATGTCAACAATTTGCAACATCTGTGCTAAACTAATTAAAGTGACAAAGGGCAATCTTTTATACAAACATAGTTACAAAGGGTCAACATGTCCTTCCTCTCAAAAATTTCCAACCAATGAAATTATAACAATACCCAAACCCTTATTAAATATTATTGAGCCTCATCCTCCCCCTATTAACACAGATTTTCTTGAAAGATTTTTTGAATGGAAAAATGGACCCACTTTAACACATCTACCAAATAAATCTAGAAACCTAATTTCAAAATTTTGTTATTAAACTTATCACAAAAGTTAATGATAACTTAAATTGTTTAAAATCATGGGAAGAACTTATTAACCTTTTCTCACAAATGTCTTATACGTCCCGCTAACAAAGAGAGCCCATTACATGAACAAATAAAATCAAACATTGATAATTTTGACACTATTCAAATGATTAACTACAATAATAATGTTAAAAAGCAAGTAGATGATATAACACACAAATGCAAAATAATATCAAATAAAATAGATCAAAGTGACATAGGTGGTCAGCGTCTACATGATAGTATATTCACTGGATGCAAACCCCCCTCAAAAATATATATCTACTCCCCTAATATATCAAAATGTTATACATAGATAATTTAAAAATGTAATGGAAAATTTTCTAGATTATTATAGACCCCCTAAAATGCCTACCCCTTACCCCATACCACCTACCCCTTACCCCTTTATAGATATTAGGATGCAAATGTTCCTAACCCCCCCCCCCCCCACCATCTTTCTCCTATGAAGAAACATTACAACTATTGAAACAACTACATCCTGAAGCTTCCACAGATAATCTACCCATCTCTCCAATCCACCAGACTGTAGTTTTTACCAGTGATGAAATAGTCAATGCTATCAATTCTTTCAATAAAAACTCAGCAGGTGGTCTTGATGGTTTCAGACCCTCCTATTTTCAATACTTAATTAATTCAAAAAATTCTTCATATAGTTCTGTCATCAAGGTTTTAACAACTTTTTGAATAACATAATAAATAATGATATTTAATTCAAAAAATCCTTCCCATAGTTCTGTCATCAAGGTTTTAACAACTTTTTGTTAACATA